CTGGGGCTTCCTCTCTGGGAAGCGGTTTTTGTTTCCCACAAAACAGATCCATGGGTAGAAGGCCCTGGGTTTGCCATTAGGAGTTTCAGTGAAAACAGGGAAGGCAGGGCTGAGGGAGGAAGGCCGGCTGCCGGTGAGGCCGCCAGGGATTTCCTCACTGGGTGAGGCCGGCACCCAGGGTGTGCACAACGCAAGTGGCACACGGTTCAGAGATGCTGTCCCTCACCACTCCACTGGGGCTGACCAGAAAGAGGAGGTGGCCGATCAGATGAGCTGCACACGGCCCGCTGGTGCACACACCAGCTCCGGAGCACTCCCTCCCCTAGGGAGCCTCTCTGGGGCTGGAACCTTGGGGGCCGCCACAGCTTAAGTCGCCCCTCCCTCCTACACTGCACCATAGCTGGCTGGCCGGGTGCCCCAGCCACTGTGCGGACAGGGTGGCCTCCTCGGCCTCTCCTGCCAGGGGCTTGCAGAGCTTCCCGGAGATTCTAGTGGGACGAACGGAATGGCGAGGGAATCCTCAAGCAGCTGGATGGAGCCCTTTGGGTGCCAAAAATCCTGAAGTGTTTCCGAGCCAACGTTCGTGTCCCCAGAAACCCTTCCTATGCCCACGGCCTGGAAGGAAGATGAAGCCCCATGGAGCTGAATTCTTGCCCAGGCCTCTGTACCCACTGTCGCAGCAGTGGGAGTGGCTGGGCGAGCGTCCCACCTGCCTACTTTGCCCTCCGCGCATGCGTGCTCGGCGGATGCGCGCTGACACAGGCCAGCCCCGGTCCAGCGTGAGAAGATGAGCAAAGCCAGCAGATGGTCTTTGTGGGAATCTCACATGAAAATAAGCGAAGCAAGCAGCAGGTAGCAGCAGCCCTGTAGAGTGCGGAGTGAGACAGTCAGAAGGGCCCAAACGGACCATGTGCGCACTTCAGCAAAAGGAAGAAGCCGGGCGGTGCTGTCTGACCCCTGTGCAGGGCACCCAACGTGCTCCGAGACGGCCACAGCTCTGGAACCCTCCACCCCACCAAGGCACTTCCAAACACGGCTCCCTGGGGATCCGCCATCTCCCAGAGCTAAGCCACCTCTTACAGACTTCAATCCACTTCCTGCTCCAGCCACAAACTGTCTCCCTCGGCCCCACGTCTGTGCTGCAGCCTCCCAGGCTCCAGGCTTCTGGGTTCTTGGTATCCTGGCATGGCGACCCTGCTCAGCTGGAGCTCCAGGAGGAGATACCTGAACCGACCTGAACTCCATCTCACCGACACCCCAAACTCTCCCACACTGCAGCACTCACTGTCCACAAAACTCATCCTCCACTACCGCCCTTCCCCCCAGCAGCCTTCTCTTCCGTGGCGGGCAACGGGCAGCCCCCTAATCTATTCCCCTCTTCCTCAGGAACACGGCTGCCCTGCTAGACCCATCTCCCAGGTGCTCCCGGAGCCAGGAGCCTGCGCCTGGCCACCAGGAGGTGCAAATGGGATGAGTACAACTTCCCCATCACATTCCTGAAAGGGAACCATCTGCTTTTCACTTCTGCTCTTGCACTCTTCTGGAAGCTGGGGTGCTGGAGTGGTGTAGACTCTCCCACAGGATGGGACAGACACGCTGTGGAAAGTGAACCAGCCCCTAGCCCGAGCCGCCCTCCCCCCTTTGGACTACAGTAGGAGGGGGAAATGTAGCCCACTCTGCAACAGCAGATTCTACTGGGAAAACGCCATAGCTAACCAGGAACCACTTACTCTAAGTTCCTTGTCGCCATCCCCAGCTCAGTCCCACTTTCACTGGTTCTCAGGCTGCTCCCCTCTCAGTGAAGGCTGCAAAGCTTAGGATCCTGGCCGGCGCCGCGGCTCACTAGGCTAATCCTCCACCTAGCGGCGCCGGCACCCCAGGTTCTAGTCCCGGTGGGGGCACCAGATTCTGTCCCGGTTGCCCCTCTTCCAGGCCAGCTCTCTGCTGTGGCCCGGGAGTGCAGTGCAGGATGGCCCAAGTCCTTGGGCCCTGCACCCCATGGGAGACCAGGAGAAGTACCTGGCTCCTGCCTTTGATCAGCGCGCCGGCCACGGCGGCCATTGAAGGGTGAACCAACAGCAAAGGAAGACCTTTCTCTCTGTCGCTCTCACTGTCCACTCTGCCTGTCAAAAAAAAAAAAAAAAAAAGCTTAGGATCCTGACAGCCCCCGGGGCTGGCCCCTCCCCCTCAGCCAACAGCCCTGTCACTCACGCCCTGACATGTGGTAGGACCACCAAGTGTGGTCCCTGAAAGCCCTGCCCACTCCACACCTCTACCCCTCATCTTTCGCTGGGCTCTGGGCAGCCTGCCTGTGCGACCTCACTCCATTTCTTATGATTATGAGAGATAATGCACATCAAGGCATGAGGTAGGTCAGTGGCCAGTGCAGAATGAGCAGCCACCACTGACATCACTGTGCACATGTGTCCGCATCCCCTCCCAATAAAAGCCCCCTGAGGTCTCTACCACCCTCTGGAACAAGCGCGAGCGTCTTAGGACATCAGGGCTCTTGGAACAACTGCCATCCTCTCGCTTCTCTCCTCCCACCCTTCCCTGCCAGGACTGCTACGCCCCATAGCATCAAACCACTCCCTGGCCTAAGCAAATCAAATCAACTTTCACCCACTCGATAACTATGTGTTCAAGCACCCCCTCAGGGAGTATTAGTGAGTGATGAGTTAACTCCCCCCTGTAGCAAAGAACGCCCACCTCCTAGATCACCCTGGCATGAGATGTGTCTAGGAAGTGACAATGGCCTCAGTTTCCTCATCTCCAAAATGAAAACCAAGCTACCCCCTCCATCCCTAAAACGCCATGCTGTGTAAGGCGGCTGCAAAACCCAAGCCACTGACTCAGCTCTACTGCTTCTGTTGATCCAGCGCACTTGCAGAGGGCATCCTGCGGAAAGGGAACCAAGTTCCTCCCCGAGGGACAGGAGAACTCGGGCCAGACGGTGAGGACGGCCACAAAGGGATGCTAAAGAATGGGGAGAGGTCAGGGCGGAGAAGGGGCAGCCCCGTGGTGGAGCCAGGCCAGCTTTCCACGGAGCCGGGCAGTGCCAGCTCCCGTCTCTTGCTTTTCCTGCCTTCCCAGAAGAGGTGAGAAGGCCCTGGGGTTGCACTTCCCACAAGACAGCAGTCTGCGGAGTTGAGCAAGGCTGCTGTTGTGTCCAACCAAGCTGCCCCCTTCCCTTCAGCCAGGCTGTCTGCAGTGTGTGTGTGGGGGGGGGCAAAGGCCAGAGGGCCACTGCCTGGAGATTCCAACACAGAACTGGAACACACACATCTCCAGCACCGCACTTCCTGATGAAGACACTCTGGCCAAGTCAAGGCCACGGGCGCGTTACTCAGAGCGTGTACTCTGGTGCTTTCCCAGAGCTGGGGCCCACGACTCCTCCTCCTTGCATCTACCCAAGTCTCAGCACAGCATCCTGTCCCACGGACAACTTCCAAAGTGAGCTTTGCACATGTAAAGAACGCGACTTCAAGCCTCACAGTGATGTCAGTGTTGTCTACACAGAGGCATGGATCATCCAATAAACTCTTATGATGCATCATTAGATAACTGTTTAGATAACTGTTGAAGGATCTCTATGTAGAAATATAGCTGGCTTATCTCCAAAGGCTGCAGCTGATCACGAAGTGAGAGCAAAGGCACTGAGGGATAGATACCGTATGCTCAAAGCGGAGGACAGCATAGCGTCGGTGCAAGCCCGCCTCTGTAACGTGGTGGCAGAATTCAGACTGGGAGGAGACGGTAGGGCTGCCGGTCAAAGTGACAGCAACCACCATGGAACAGTAGGGTTCTCTGGGCGTGCTCAAGGCTGACAGCTTGGGCAGTCTTCCCTCCCAGGCTTTCTCCTCCAGTAATGGCACTCCCAGATCTAGAACAGCAAGTTGACTGGGTGCCCCCAACATCTCCTAGGACTCCCCACCATCACTGCACTGCCCCCCTCACAGCCCACAGAACTTTGGAACCATTGGAGCTGCTGCGGAAGAGGCCAGATACCAGTCCCTTTCTGCACAGGGCCGGCCACTGCTAGCTGCCCACCAACAGCCAGTGCCCGCCGTTCCTTACCCTAGAAGCCCTGTTTGGTTCAAGGCGAGAATGTGAGCAACTCACCTTCCTCAGAAGTTTGTGAGTGAATGGTTGCTCATCCACACAATGGAGCACTTTTCAAAGCTTCACAGCTCAAAGTAGTGATACATCTACAACACGGAGGAGCCTGAAGATACTAGGCCTAGTGGAGGAAGCCAGACACAAAAGGCCACCTCGTGAATGATTGCATTTCTGTGACAGGCTCGGAAGACATAAATCAACAGACAGAAAGTAGTTGCTAGGACTGAGGATGGGAGGGGAACCAGAAGCGACTGTCAATGGATATGGGGTCTCTTCAGAAGTAGTAATAAAGCAGGTTGTAGTGATGATGCTGTAGCTCTGACGGTTCCCCCCAAAATCACTGGATTTTATACTTTATATGGGTGACATGTGAACTATAACTCAATAAAGTCAGCATATAAATAAAACCAATGTAACTCAGCAAAACCAATTATAACTTCAATTAGCAACCAACAAAGCCTACTTTGCTGGGATACCTATAGCTCGGAGTGCCCACGTGTGACAGCTGGGGCCTGGAACATGCTGGTGGCTGTAAACTACAGGAAGCCCCCAGCCCCAAGAGAAAGGACTCAAGCAACTCACGCCTTTGGCTGTTTCCCATTTCCCACCCAGCAGCAGCTCTAGCCCTGCGGTCCCTCAGAACCACAGCATGTGAGCTGTAGAGCAGCGCCCAGGAGGGGATGCTGATGGAGGGCTGGGGTCTCCCTGTCAGCCCTGGTTCTCTCTTCGGATTTGACAGAGAAAAGTAACCCACACGGTAAGCCCTCCATGCCTATGGGGCCTGCACTGATGGGTTCAACCAAGTGCAGACAGAACAGATTCGAAGAAACAAAGTGAGTCTAGGGGCAGCACTGCAGCATAGCAGGTAAAGCCGCCGCCTGCAGTGCCAGCATCCCATATGGGCGCCGATTTGAGTCCTGGCTGCTCCTCTTTCGATCCAGCTCTCTGCTATGGCCTGGGAAAACAGAAGATGGCCCAAGTCCTCGGGCCCTTGCACCCGCATGGGAGACCCAGAAGAAGCTCCTGGCTTCAGATTGGTGCAGCTCCAGCCATTGAGGCCAACTGGAGAGTGAACCAGTGGATGGAAGACCTCTCTCTCTCTCTCTCTCTCTCTCTCTCTGTAACTTTGCCTCTCAAATAAATAAAATCTCAAAAAAAAAAATACAGAGGAGGATGTCTATAAGTTATATGCAAACACTACACCATTTTATCTAAGGGACTTAAGCATCTAAGAATCTCGTTACCCAACGTGGTCTCCGAACCAATCCCGTGTGGGTACAGACGGCTGTACTGGGTTGAGGCAGCCAAATGCTACCTCCATTGATGCAAGCCTAAGTAACACCAACCCACGTTTATTCTTGGAGTCAAGAAGGCAAAAGGCAAAACAGTGGAGTTAGAAAGATGTAAAAAAGCTGAATACGAATGTAACCTGCAGGTATCATGTTGCCGCTGATTTCTCAACAATGTTGCAGTGGATTCGTTTCTGAGAGGAGCAGCATGGTGGGGGCAAGAGGCGCGGAGTCACCACACAGACCCCGGGAGTCAGGTGAAAGCAGGCTTGAGGCGAGCAGCCCGCAGACTCGTTTATTACAGTTGGAACCATATCTTATATAGCCAAGATCAGCCAATCTGGTCAAGGGGCGGTCTATGCCCCAACCAATCACAGCCTGTTGCCAGGCAGGCTCTGTTGCCAGGTGGGTTTCAAAGCCATTCCTGAGTAACTGACACTCACTTGCCAGTGGCCACCTTGGCATGGCCTTCTCATTCCACCCTTTTCGTTTATTTTTGAGCAATGAGAGGCATGATTCTTGGCCATACCATTGTTGACCCCATTCCCATGTGGTCTCCATACGCAGCTTTGCCTGTCTTAGGTTGTCCCCCAGGGGATCTTACCCGTCATTGACTAACCAGTGCTCAAATCGAGAGACCACAGGATTGCTTGCTCAGATAGGGGTAGGACTGAGGAATAATGGTTATCAGGAATGGCATGACTGCACACGGACTATGGGCCATTTGAGTGGCTGACCAGAGCTAGTGGGGTACAAAACAGTAACAGATGTGGCTATGGGCAGTTTCTCAGGGTAGGATAATAGGGCAGGTGTATCTGCTAACAAGGCGGATTCTCAGTCTTGTTCAGCTGGTTCTTGTTGGCTGTCAGTTGCATGCTTGATGTTTCTGGCTGGTACCCAAATGGGCTGTTCGACACAAGCATATCCTCGACCTTTGGTTAATAGAAGTCTTTTTACAGGCGTTGGAATCCAGGGCCTGAATTCTGCATCCGCTCCTACATTAACAGCAAACGTGCAGGTGGGATGGGGTCCAGCTGCTGCCCTGAGAGCCTGGGGTGTCCGAGTACTGCCACAAATGTGGGGATCCTCACTGGGTGCGGATGGGATGACCTCGCATGGGTTATTGTCTAGAGGTCCTCTTAGTTCATCCCACGGGTATGTGGGGGGTGGCTGACTAGGCATTGCTACTTTGTTTGTTACCTTGTTTGCTACATTGTTTTTTTCACTGTCCCAGCTCTCTCTCCCTAAGTTATCAACCATTGTCTGTGAGACAGGGACCTGGAGTGTCAGGCTCTTATCACTCACAGATTCACTATCTTTGATAATCTGCACAGGATTCTGAGAGGGGGGTATCTTTCCCATGTCTGAGCGCTTAAGAGCGGCACGGCATGCCAACTCTAGCCAAAGGAAAGACACGTACGCACTGCTGCCATAACAAAGCAAATTCCTAGCACCTCAGCTGTTGATGGCATTCTGCAGGGGGTTCCCTATGTTAGACAAACAGATAGTGGTATATCAGATCGTAAGTATGTCCTGTGCTTAGTGGGGGACTTCCTTGATTCGTTAGGTCAAGGCCGTATGCCCACACGGTGTCTCCGGAGCGTCACCTCTCTCGAGTGAGGGAAGATGACTTGGTTCTGAATTCTGGGATGATCAGTCCTTATGTGAATTCGCCGGGCGAACCCAAAGTAACAGGAGCAGCTGAGAAGCGGCATACGCTTTTGGGCGGTGTGTGCCTAACCTGGGGTCACTTAGACCGAGGACAAGGAGAAGGAAAGGGGCGTAGGAGTGGGTTCTGTGCTCACCCTCACAGAACCGAACAGCACACAGAATACCGAGGGGCCTTCTTGCCGAAATCCAGGGGGGACCTTGCCGTGTCCAACAGGCTGTCTCTCTCAGTCATGTTGGCAGGCCAGATGTTGCCATTGATTTCTCAACAATGTTGCAGTGGATTCGTTTCTGAGAGGAGCAGCGTGGTGGGGGCAAGAGGCGCGGAGTCACCACACAGACCCCGGGAGTCACCACACAGACCCCGGGAGTCAGGTGAAAGCAGGCTTGAGGCGAGCAGCCCGCAGACTCATTTATTACAGTTGGAACCACATCTTATATAGCCAAGACCAGCCAATCTGGTCAAGGGGCGATCTATGCCCCAACCAATCACAGCCTGTTGCCAGGCAGGCTCTGTTGCCAGGTGGGTTTCAAAGCCATTCCTGAGTAACTGACACTCACTTGCCAGTGGCCACCTTGGCATGACCTTCTCATTCCGCCACAGTATCACACAGTTAATTTATTTTCTTAAAGGTAACCATTTTCTACCAATACATGTTCCCCCAGTTTCAATATATCCTCATGGGAGCCCTCACCTCTCTAGAGACAATGACTGAAAAATGCTTTAGTTTTTTTTTTTTTTTTTTTTTAAGAATTACTTGAAAGGCAGAATGAGACAGAGGGAGGGAGGGTAGGAGGGAGTGGAAAGTGGGGGGAGAGAGAGAGAGAAAAACAGGCTTGATCATCCATGCTGGTTCACTCCCCTATGTGGCAGCAATGGCCAGGGCTGAGCCAGGATGAAGTCAGGAGCCGGGAACTCCACCGGTGTCTCCCACCTAGGTGGCAGGGGCCCAAGCACTTGGACCATCTTCCTGTGCCTTTCCAGGTGCGTCAGCAGGAAGCTGGACTTGAAGCCGAACAGCGTGGACTTGAACTGGAGCTCTACTATGGGAAGCGGATGTTGCAAGCAGCAGTGGCCTCACCCCCACACCACACCGCAGGCACCAATGGTTTAACTTTGAAATATGGATAAGCCAATATGAAGAAACCTCACATTTGCCTTAAGAAGAATAATTTTGAGGATCACCAATTCTATTCTTTTTCTTAAGTTTTTAACAGCATAACAAGAACATCTGACCTTTGAAAGGTTAGGCCTCATCTCCCACTAAACCCAGTCAGCCTTAATTTTATAAAGAATAACATTCTTAGGGAGGAAAGAGCTTGCTTAGGTAAACCTATGTAGTCAATACACTGAGGCAGGAAGTTCCCGTTTCAGAGAGTTCACTACAATCTTATCCTGAAATATTAAGGGCAAAGTAAATATAGAAACAAAACTGTAACAATAGGCGGGGCTGGTGCAGTGATACAGCGGGTTAAAGCCCTGGCCTGAAGCTCCGGCATCCCATATGGGCACCAGTTCTAGTTCCAGCTGCTCCTCTTCCCATCCAGCTCTCTGCTGTGGTCTGGCATAGAAGTAGAAGATGGCCCAAGTCCTTGGGCCCCTGCACCCACGTGGGAGACCCAGAAAAAGCTCCTCGATTCGGATCGGCACAGCTCCAGCTGTTGCGGCCATCTGGGGAGTGAACCAGTGGATAGAAGACTTCTCTGTCTCTACCTCTCTCTATAACTCTTTCAAATAAATAAAATAAATCTTTAAAAAAATAGGCAAAGTGTTCCATTTTTATTTTCTAGCCCGAGATTAAGTCACCTCTCCCTGGGATGGGATGGGGAGAGGGACATGGGAGAGAAACACTTGAAAAATAACCTCCCGCTGAAGTCAATGGATTTAACCTATCACTCCAAAGTGGACCTGGTATGGAAAGTAATTTGAGGGTAACCAGGCTAAAGATTCCTGTGACCAAAGAAAATGCAGGAAAAATGAAGTTAAAATGTTGTAGTGGGGTGGTGGGGGCTGGGATAGGACCCTCCATAGCAACCTGTATTCTTTTTATTGCATACTTTATTCATTTCTATTACATAAAACTTAGCTTGGCCAGTCTGAATATCCTATCATATTGCTATGAGAACACAGTATGTGAACTATGAGCTGCTGGTTTTAAGGAATTAGAAGGTTTTTAAAGTCGCTCCAATTGTTATCTTGCACAAATGTAGGTATTTTTACTTACACATTCTTTAAATATTCAACCATGTGTCAAGCACTACTTAAGTAATGGAGTTTCAGACCTGATTAAAGCACAAGTTCCTCTCCTCAAGGAACTCAAAAACACTCATGGGACTACGCTGGGGAGCCACACGAGCCTGGAGGAGGGGGCGGGGCTTGTCTCAGAGAAGGAACAGCACACGCAAAGGGAAGGGCTTAGAGGCAGGGAGAGAGGGAGGGCGGCAGGTGGGGCTGGAGAGAGGCGGCGACTGCTGCCTGGGAGTTCTGACCGCTGGCAGGGGCCAGGCAGTGGGGCAGAGGCAGCCACTGGGCAGGCAGCTGGGCAAGGCAGGAGGCTGCCAGGGAGTCGACTCCGCAGAGGCAGACTTCCACACGCGGGGACAGCTCAAGTTTTGTGTCCCACATTTCCCTCCCAGTAAAAACACAGCCTTCAGCACTGCCAACGGGCCCGGGGCCAGAGGCGAGTGGCTTCCGTGCAGTGGGTGAAACGGCAGCAAAGAGGTCGTCCCCACCAGCCTGTGAGATCTGCCGGTGCCGCACCTGTAGCTGGAAGGCAGTAGTGCCCGGCCCGGGAGCTGCTCCAGAAACTGCTGCGTTCTCTTCTCAGGTAGGCTCTTCATTGGCACAGGCCGCGCGGGACCTGCCACCATGCTAAGCCCCGGGGGGGATTCGCTCTCCACTGCACACACTTTCTTCCCGGGGGCCACACACCTCACTTTGCTGATGTTGCTTTTACCAGCTGCAGCGGGTTCTTCTCCGATGTGCCTTCCTCACGAAACTCGACGTGACTCGGTCCTAGGCCCTCTCTCTCCACTCTCTCCCTAGGCAGACCCATTCGGTGGCACAGCTTCTGCTACGCTTGCACACTTGCGTGTTCACTGAGCTCTCTTCCCTGAGCTGTGGACTCTTGTCTACAACTCAGTCCTCACCAGGTGATCAGTTGGCATCTCAAGCCCAGCCTGCACCAAACCACCGATCCCCTCTGCCCGGCAGGCTCCTGTTTCTCCCATCTCAGGACTTGGACCCAACAGCCACATGCTCACGCCCCCAGGCAACCAGCCACCCCCACCCCCGACAACTCCCTTTCCTCCTTCACCCACTGCCCACATCCAGATCAGGTACCTTCACCTTTCCTCCTTCACCCACTGCCCACATCCAGATCAGGTACCTTCAAGACTGATCGTCAGTCTACCCCTTCTCTTCATTGTAATATTGTTGGACCACAAAACAGCTTCTTATGGAGTCTCTACTTCTGCCCCCTTGCCTTTCTACCACCCAACCTTCAGATCATGTCACTCCTTATTTGAAAAACCTCTGAAGGGGCCAGTGCCGTGGCTCACTTGGTTAATCCTCGGCCTGCAGCGCCGGCCTCCCATATGGGCACCGGTTCTAGTCCCGATTGCTCTTCCAGTCCAGCTCTCTGCTGTGGCCTGGGAAGGCAGTGGAGGATGGCCCAAGTGCTTGGGCCCCTGCACCCACAAGGGAAACCAGGAGGAAGCACCTGGCTCCTGGCTTCGGATCGGCACAGCGCCAGCCGTGGCGGCCATTTGGGGGATGAACCAACGTAAGAAAGACCTTTCCCTCTGTCTCTCTCTCTCTCTCTATGACTCTACCTGTCAAATAAATTAAAAAAAAAAATCTCTGAATAAATCCGCACCGTACTAGCACCAGGTAGAAATGTGTGCCAAGGCTTCCTGCTTCTCCCGCCCCTCGTGTGGGACCACTCCCCGGCCCAACTGCGCTCCAGCCACACGGCCTCCTCTTCCTTCTTCCCGGCGGCAGCTGGGGGATGGGCGGGAAGGGCTGCGAGGGGAGGCCTCATCATTTCTGCTGTCATGTGTCTTCTGCCCAGATCTGATCATGGCTAGTTTCTTCTTGTCATTCAGATCTCAACTCAAATGTCACCACTCAGAGAAGCCTGGCTGGCCATGACATCTGAAGCATAACTCTTACCAAAACCTGACTTTCATCAGCTGCTTCTCCTGATTCCAAGCTGACCTAGGCTGGGAGGAGCGGGCTCTGCCTGGTCTGCCCCCTTCCTGAGCGCCAGGCGTAAGGCACACACTGGGTGAACGGCGCAGTCCTCCTTGCGTCCACACAGGCGGTGCTCCCAACAGGAGTGTCTGAGAAAGGACAGAACCCAAAGGGCCGCTGTCACTGGAGCCAGCTTTTACTGTCACACTGGTGCTCGGTGAAGCTGCTCCTTTTCTAGAAAGGCTGTCACCTGCGAAATCTGTCCAGTAATGTTTGCAATCCTCAACAAAGCCACTGCCACTGCAGGAGAACCGGCCACCATGGGCATCTCTAACCGTTTATTTATTTATTTTTTTTTGGACAGGCAGAGTGGATAGTGAGAGAGAGAGAGAGAGAGAGAGAAAGGTCTTCCTTTTTGCCGTTGGTTCACCCTCCAGTGGCCGCTGCAGCTGGCGCGCTGATCCGAAGGCAGGAACCAGGTGCTTCTCCTGGTCTCCCATGGGGTGCAGGGCCCAAGCACCTGGGCCATCCTCCACTGCACTCCCGGGCCATAGCAGAGAGCTGGCCTGGAAGAGGGGCAACTGGGACAGAATCTGGCGCCTCAGCCGGGACTAGAACCCGGGGTGCCGGTGCCGCAGGCGGAGGATTAGCCTAGTGAGCCGCAGCGCCGCCTCTAACTGTTCTTTAGTTTTCCAGATCTTATACACTGAGCTGTGCTACAAGGCACTCACCTGACCACAGAAAAGGACGCCCTGAAAGCATTTGCTAACTGGCTGCCTCCTAAGAATGCAGGTCACGAACAGAAACATCTCTAACTAACAAATGGTCAATGGAGGTTTTATATCCTCCTCTGAATCCCGGAGACTGAGCAGCTCATAAAACCAAAGGAGCAGCGTTAATACAGGTTCTCAGAAAGTCATGCTCTCAGCCCGTCTGTGGAAGAACACGCAGTGTGCGAGCTACTCTCCCTAACGTGTTCTTTACTCAAGAAGCTTCTGTAAAAGCAGGAAGAGCCTCCAGCTGCCAGGCGCCGTCCCTCATCGTCCGGTGAGGCCGGGCGTAGCGGCAGCACCGCGGGCCCCTCAGCGGTGCTCGGGCAACCACACTGGAGCACACACACCCGGCGCTCCCTTACTGGCTCTGCAGAAACGCATTAGGGCTCTTCACACTTCCTTGAAACAACAATGCCACATTGCGTTAGAGCCTGGAAGCTGGGCAAAGCCCACTGCAGCCAGGTCAGGACTCTGCAGCCCGAGTGCAACGCTCAGGAACTCAAGCACGAAGCTGTGGCTGTTGCACGGTCCAAGGCCTACCAGACAGAACCAACCATTCAACACTGTTGTAATATAAAACAAATTCTTTAATTTTTCAGGTGTTTTAAAAAAGTTTTATACTTAAGCCAGCCTTGATGATAAGCACAAAATGTACCAGTTTACATTAAAAAAAAACAAAAAACAAAAAACAAAAAACCCACAACTCCAGCACCTGCTCTGTGCATAGCACTGTTCCAGGTGCAATAAAGGGAATCTTCAGCTGAGACACGTGATGTCACTTGCTGGACCTGTGTCATCTGCTTCGCCAGAGAGTAAAAATAAATAAAACTGCCGTGTCTTACTCCTGATCTGCCCAACCCTGGCTCACAGCAAAGCCCACTTCTGCCAAGGGGAAAATGCAGTGGACTCAGCTCCCACTTCCCCGCCACAGAACAAAAAAGAAACGGTTCTCCACGAAAGGGCAGTTTCTCACAAGTACAAAAATGTTGTTGTTTTTCCCTCCCCCTTGTTTTTCTCTTTTTCTCCCGCCAATAGTGCCTTTGCTTCTAGAAGGCAAACCACACATCTTTTTATTCTGTGTTTCCTCCAAGAAAAGTATTGCATCTTGAAGACAAACCATTTCCAAGAACAGTGATAAAAAACAGTATTAAAAAACATTTTAAAGGAGAGTCACCTACATTACCTTGATCAAATAGCAGTTGGCACTAAGATAGCTATTCCAAATATCCACGTCTAAACAATTTTAAAAACTGTTTATTTTGTAAGAATGTACTAATCCAAAGTAACTATGTTTTTAAAAAATTTGGCCAAAAAATTTACAAAACCCCTTTAAGTTCAACCTAATAAAAGACGTATCTAAAAATATTCCACATTAAGTCTGTCTTAGAAGTTCCGATTCTAAAGCGTCCCAAAGGCACAGTGTTCTGGAAGACGAGGGTGCTCCTGCCAGCGCTGCATCCTACACCAAGCGTCCGTGGCGGGATCCAGGTGAGCCCCCACTGTGGGGCTCGGAGAGGAGTCACACGTAGGCTCCCAAGGCTGCGTGGAACTCTGTGAGGCACTGCACCAGCTGCTGGAACTTGGGCCTCTCCTCCGGATCTAAGGCCCAGCAACAGGCCATCACAGCAAACCTGCAGAGCGACAGCGCCGGGAATCAGTGGGTGACAGACAGCACAGTACTTGCCTAGCCTGCTGGTTAACGCCCTCTGTCTGATGTGGCATGCAGAGGATGCTATATTAAAACTGTCCAGTTTTACTATCTGTTGTCAGTTCTATGATTTAAAAAAAAAAGCTAAAATAACTTCTCTGCATATGTGTGGACTTCAGTGTTTCATGAGAGCAAATCAAAATATTTCAGCAAACACAGAGACTTCATGGAAACACCTAAGACACAGTCAAGTGGCAGTTCTGAGAGACGGGGCGTGGGGGAGGAGGAAATGTTATCTAAGCTCCAAGAACACTGGACAAACAGTCAGATCAGTGCCGTGGTTTAGAAGCCCAGGGTTCTGGAACTGAGAACACACTCATCGTGTGCACACTGGCACCCCTGAAGAGCCCCCTGCCCACCACTTTTCATTACATGGAAGGATTGGCTATGTGATGGAAGCAATCACCTCCCTCACCAGCCCAGAACATCTTCCCTACGGCAAGGCCAGACGATGAAAAAGGCCTGGTTTAAAAAAAAAATACTACACCCATGTCAATTACTAGGGCTTTATAATCAAAAGTCTCCACAGAGTAAGCGACATGGCACTCAGTCAGGGGTCTCACTACGCACACCAGTCTCTCAGGTTAATCTGCAGTGCTTAGTTTACACTCTACAAACGGAAGTGCAACAAGTCCTAATGTCAAATGCATGAAAACACACAATCTGCCTGACTCTGCTTCTCTACAAGAGCCTAACTCAAGTTCGAAGAGCCCTTAGTCCCAAAAGGGAAGGCTTCATGTGAATATGGAAACCCGCTCTTTCCTTCTATCCCACAACAGTAAACAGAATGACACTCACAGTTCATCGGGACAGTTGATGGGCTGGGCTATCCGGTAACCATCTTTCAGGTACGCAGCCATCTCAAAGGGGTCGATGTCCACGTAGGGCGTCTGGCCCAGAGTCATGAGCTCCCACAGCGTCACTCCAAAGGCCCACTAGGAGAGGAGCAGCACACAATCAGGGGACAGTTGAAGCAGCTGTCAGGGTGCTGCTTCAGGATGAAAACTGCCGCTCATCTGACGCTTAAGGAGAGCAGAGCACCACAGGAAGTCTTACCGCACTCAGCTCCTCTTGCTCGGATGGAAGACAGTGCTTCATGAATTCACCGGGACATCAGTAATGAGTCTTCTAAGTATTACAGCTATTAGAAGAGGTTTTTTTTTTTTTTTTTTTTTTACTACTGACTACAAGCTGTAGCACCTCAAACCATGAATTACATCTAAGACTTTCCTAATATGAAAGTTTGTAAGTTTAAATATTATGGCCAATCTGTAGAGTTGAGAAGTAGAAAATGAACATAACTTTAGCCTAAGTTTGGCGAAGAGCATCCTGAGTGTGACATGAAAATTATGTAAAAGGTAAGACAGCGGGAATTTTTACTAAATTTAAATTAACCTATGCAAATATCCAGAAAAACAGCTGCCCACCTTGCCTAAGTAATAATCAGATTTATCAGGAAGCAGCCTGTGGACTGCTGCTAGTGGCAGCCACGGTGAGCTCTGGTCAGGGCTCCCCTCTGCGGCCCAGCCCTGGCTGTACTGCAGCTCCCAGAGGGCAGGCAGCGTGTCTGTAAGAGCCATTGCCAAGGGGAGGTGACTACTGCATGGTCACGTGTGACTCTGAGGTCAGGGCAACTGGGGCTGGGTGGGGAGACGCTGGCGTGAGACAGTACCCTGTTTATGAGCGGCTCTAAGTCCAGGCATTCTGAACCCTTTACTGCATTTAATTTTCACAACAAACCTTGGGGAACCACTGGTGACTTGACTTTACGGAAAGAGGAAACTTGCCTACAAATACATTTTTTAATGAATCAAAGAGAAAAAACGGGGGCGGGGGAGAGGCATGTCCAACCAAACACAAGTCAAATACACCTACTTACAAAACCTAAGCATAGTGCATTCACTTTTAGGTGAGCCAATCCAAAGCCAGGAGCATTTTCCAGGTCTCCTACATGGGTGCAGGGGCCCAAGAACTTGGGCCATCTTCTACTGCTTTCCCAGGTGCATTAGCAGGGAGCTGGATTGGAAGTGGAGCAGCTGGGACTTGAACTAGTGCCCATAAGGGATGCCGGTACAACAGACCAGGGCTTTAACCTGCGGCGCCACAGTGCCGGCCCCGGCCCCGCAGGTCTATCTTAAGACCTCACTCTATATAAGTCCTAACACCGATAATGATTAATAAACACAATGCTGGATTTTGGAGCAGTGTCCAATTTCTACAGAGAAGCAGTTTATTACACAAATGGACAGGGCCCAAAGAAGTGAAACGGGCTGGCAGGGCATTGCCCTCCCTTCTTTCTAGATGACACAGGTCTGTTCTTGTGCACTGATCACAGAACTGTGGGAAGGGTTAATTAAGTAGTAATTATAGCATACATTATATTTATAATTAATTATAACATATTGTATTACATACTTTATAATAGATAATTAAAATTACTTCTCTCACATTTATGTCCACATTATTATCACTAACAAGTCATCTAAGGTTCTCACATTACATATCACAACACTAAAAAGCAACATGAAATAAAGAACAATCAAGCCAAAGGGCATGCTACAGTTTCACTTCCTTAAAATCCAGCGAAAGTGATAAACTGCATGCTGGCAACCGACTCTTAAAAAAGAATCAAGACCAAATGGCACAAGGATGATTTGTGGAAAACTTGCTCTCTCAAGTCTTCTGATAAGTAAACCATTCAAAGGGTAGATAGGCTTATTCTATAATTTCCTTCTGTTTGACGCAGTTGGGGAGGGGCAATAGGAAGGTCAAGTTGTTGTTTTTCCCAGGGTTTCATGGAGGACTGTGGCCATGTCCACTTATAGAACACTTTAGAGAAGAGTGTTCTATTCGTCTCACTTCTTTCCCCCTAACTTGCTATTTTATAGCTTTTTAGGACATAATTTTTTTTTTTACCAAAAATGTATAGGATGTGGCTTGTCAAAGAGTTAAATTAATTTAAATTTATTTTTGTCCTTTAAATATAAACTGGTATCTTGGGGTGGGACCAACGTGCCTTTCTGCCCAGCTGTGGGAGGTGACACTGTCACCCTACTGGGCCCAGAAGGCAGAGTACTGAGCCAAGAAGTGCCTGAGATTTAACGTTGTCTGCCCTGTTAGGGACCCATCACCCCCGTCTTCCTTCCAATCTCTCACTTCGGGGAGGGGCATGTCTGTAGGTATCCATTCTACACCTGTATTTGGAAGCACATAACTTGCGTAGTTTCACAGGCTCAGGGCTGGAGGGGAAGTTACCTCAGGAGAAACCGTACCTCGAGGCTCACCCTGACCCTAGATGATAATTAGAGAAGACTTTAGATTTTAGACTCTAAAGTGAAGCCAGAGTAAGTTTAGACATGTAGGGCCGTTGGGTTGGAATGAATGTATTTTGCTTGTGGGATGAATTCAGGGAGGCCAGTGGTGGGATGTGATGGACTGAAGGTTTGTGTGCCTCCCCCACCCCGCCCCATAGTCCTATGTTCAAATCCTAATCCCAATGCAACGGTATTAGGAGTTGGGGCCTTTGGAAGCGATTAGGTCAGGAGGGTGGAACCATCATTGGTAGGATTTGTGCCCCTGAGACAGAAATCATCAGAAAGCTCTCTCACTCCTCACACCGTGGGAGATGCAGAGATCACCATTTATGAATGAAGGGGGAGACTGTCATTAGACACGAAGTCTGCTGATGCCTTAATCTTGGACTGGTAAGACTGGAGAAACGTGAGAACGAATGCTTGCTGCTCCACCTGTCAAATTCATGGTAGTTTATCACAGCAGCCTGAAGGTGTGATGACACTATCCCAACCTCAAAATCAGCACGCTTTAAGCCCACAGTGTCACACACGGCTGAGAAATGACCACTTTTGCTATGAATCTGTCCAAGGACCTGTGATCAGGAAAGAGAAGCCAACACCGGGTGTCTCCCAGCGCCTCCCCCCCCATCTGTTATTGAGGGCGCTTTTCTCCATTGTACCAGACTTTGCTCGGCCAGAACACGATGGCCATGGAAGGGGAACATTAACTAGAATGATAAAGATAAAGTTCTAAAGGAACAGAAAGGACAGGAATGTTCCTAAGACTCCATGAGTAAAATAGCTCAAGGGACAGACAAGAGAGAAAACACACCCAGGGCCACAAGACAGCAACTGCTCAGTTTTTTTTTAACTACATTAACTATTCCTGCAGTAGCTCCATGTATACCTCATTCCAAGGAAACATTAGAATAATTAAAAGAATATTACTAACTAAAATTAGACTATGTCTTTTTAAAAAAGAAGTTTGGGGGCTGGCACTGTGGCGCAGCAGGTTAAAGCCCTGGCTTGAAGTGCAGGCATCCCATATGGGAGACAGTTCTAGTCCTGGCTGCTCCTCCTCTGATCCAGCTCTCTGCTATGGCCTGGGAAAGCAGTAGAAGATGGCCCAAGTCCTTCGGCCCTACACCCACGTCGGAGACCTGGAAGAAGCCCCTGGCTCCTGGCTTCAGATGGGCGTAGCTCCAGCCATTGTGGCCATCTGGGGAGTGAACCAGCAGGTGGAACACCCCTCTCGCTCTCTGTAACTCTTTCAAATAAATAAAATAAATCTTTAAAAATAAAAAGAAGTTTGGTTTTAATGTTTATTTATTTATTTGAACGTAGAGTGACAGAGAAATGAACAGACAGATAAAGAGAAAAATCTTTCAGCTCCGGCTCACCCCCCAAATGCCTGCAATAGTCAGGGCTGGATCAGAGGCTTAGCACTCCATCAGGTGACAGGACTCAGTACTTGCATGCATCACCTGCTGCCTCCCAGGATGCACTGGCAGGAAGCTGGGCTAGAAGCAGGGAGGACAGGATTCAACGGGCCCTCCACCATGGAATGCGGACAGCCTGCTGCCCTCCCCAACAACATCTGCCGAACATGATCATTTTTTTTTTTTTTACAGGCAGAATGGACAGTGAGAGAGAGAGACAGAGAGAAAGGTCTTCCTTTGCCGTTGGTTCACCCTCCAATGGCCGCCACGGCCGGCGCGCTGTGGCCAGCGCACCGCACTGATCCGATGGCAGGAGCCAGGTGCTTTCTCCTGGTCTCCCATGGGGTGCAGGGCCCAAGCACTTGGGCCATCCTCCACTGCACTCCCTGGCCACAGCAGAGAGCTGGCCTGGAAGAGGGGCAACCGGGACAGAATTAAAGCACCCCGACCGGGACTAGAACCCGCTGTGCTGGCACCACAGGGCGGAGGATTAGCCTATTGAGCCGCGGCGCCGGCCCTAACATGATCTTATTGTTAATAATACTAAACCTTTGTCTTTTTTTTCCTAAACTAAGGTCTGAAGTAATCCTCTAGATGTTTATTAAAATTGTCTTTAATATTAATACCTCTTAATATAAACTTAATACTTAAATAACAGTTCTAAAATTTTTAATGTTTAAAATCTACAGGCAGGGGCCGGCACTGTGGTGTAGCAGGTAAAGCTGCTGCCAGCAGTGCCAGCATCACATATGGGCATCAGTTCAAGTCCCAGCTGCTCCACTTCCGATCTAGCTCTCTGCTATGGCCTGGGAAAGCAGAAGAAGATGGTCCAAGTACTGGGGCCCCTGCACCCACATGGAAGACCACCAAGAAGCTCCTGGCTCCTGGCTTCAGATCGGCACATCTCCAGCCATTGTGGTCAATTGGGGAATGAACCAACAAATGGAAGACTTCTCTCTCCCTCTCTGCCTCTCCTTCTCTCTTTGCGTAACTCTGACTTTTGAATAAATAAACAAAACTTTTTTAAAAAAGCAACAGCCATAAAGAAAATAAATAATTATTGAAAATCTCACCAATACTCTCAAATTAATAATTAAGATCTAATATAAAATAGAAAATTTTCTGTACCTTCTAAATAATAAGTCCCTTCCTGTAACTCCCTTGGATATGACAGTAGTTCAACAGAGCAGTCTCATAGGTATATGATGTATAAATGTGAGGGTCTCTTGTCCAAGAGGCACTGGCTCAGAGGCACTGGGCCAACAGGAGAAACATGAAGCAGTTTGCTATATTTTCCACCTCGGTAGTCATTCACATACACAAAATAAGTAACATGAAGGTGAAAGGGAAATACTCCGATTCGCCCTATGCCCTAAAAACTGTTCAAACGCCTTTATAGGGTCTCCTCATCGCCACAGCCACTCTGATGAGATCAGCATGGAAGTCATTTCCTTGAGTTGTTTTTCCCAAGAAAATGCTCTTTAAACACAATGTAACACCTTAAAGACAAGAAACCCCACAAGAAACTCCTAACTGTGCAATCCTGATTGCATTTAATCTTTTATAGAAATTTGTTTCGTAATAGTAGAATTCTGCTAGCTACTGTAATATTCAAAGAAGATATAAATCAAGACATTTATTTTCAAATAATGGAAAAGAAAGTCACATTAAGAAACCTATGGTGGTGCCCACATCTGAAGAAAACAGAATAAAAACAATATCCAGACATTCTTAAGAACGTCTATGATGACGTCGTATCTTGGAACAGTATTAGAAAGACATTTATAACTAGTCAAATCTAGTTGTGCATATTTCCTAAGCTCAATAGTTAAAAGATAACGTTAACATTACAAGAATTTGACATAATGAAATATTGACTCCTTCCAGTAAAAACTATGAGAACAATCCAGAGACGCAATTTATTATTTTTAAGATAGAAACAAATCATGTAGAATTCTTAACTACAAAGAAATACGAAAATATTAAGGGGCTTTTAAAGGAGAGAAAAAGGGCCCGGTGCTGTGGCATAGCACGTATAGCCACCACCTGCAATGCTGGCATCCAATGTGTATGCTGGTTCAAGTCTTAGCTGCTCTTCTTTCGACCCAGCTCCCTGCTAATGTGCCTGGGAAAGCACTGGAATATGGCTCTAGTACTTGGGCCCCTGCATCCATGTGGAAGACCCAGAAGAAGCTCCTGGTTCCTGGCTTCAGTCTACTACCCCCCTGGCAGTTGCAGCCATTTGGGGAGTGAACCAAAACATGGAAGATTTCTTTCTCTCTCTCACTTTAACTCTTTCAAATAAATAAAATAACTCTTTTTTAAAAAAAGAAAAGGAGAAAGAAAGTGTTCCCTCCAAGAAAGCAATGCCATTTTGTTGGATGTTACATTTATATCTCAAAGTACATGGAATACTAAATGTAGTTTTCAACCCCTCAACTTCAATCCATATGTTATAAAGCAATCTTTAACTAAACACACTTGGATCAAATGTTCAAGGAGATAGATATGTATAAACGTACTGAACCATCACACAGTCCCCTGTAAGTACAATTTCTTGTGTCAGCTAAAAGAATGCCAAAAATGCTTACAAGCAAGAAGAAGAAAAACAAACAACAAAAAATACTTTCAGAATTCAAATCCAAGAGTCTGGGTATATCTGCCTTACCCCACAAGCCCACAGCCTGACAGGCCCCGTGCCCCTCCGGCTAGAGAAGCCGGTTTCTGCCCAGCGTCACCTGTGTGGCTGCTCTGAAGTGGACAACCTGCCTCCTCATAATCACGTGTATTATTCTCCCATCTCAAGGGTGAGGCTTTCTCCCACAAGAGTGTAGTTTATTTTAAGTTAAAACAAAGTATTTTTGAAGATGTACAGAATAAAAGACTTTATTTTAGAGGCCAGAAAGAGTAGGGGAAAAAAAATCTATGTAAGTAAATTGTTCATTCACACCAAGTGAACATATTTTATCAAGACATAAGTATATAAAAAGAATAGAATATTGAGGCTGGCTTTGTAGTGTAGCAGGGTAAGGTGCCACTTGTGACACCGGCATCCCATACTGGAGCGCCAGTTTGAGTCTTGGCTGCTCTGCTTCTGATCCAGCTTCCTGCTAATGTGCCTGGAAGAGCAGTGGATAATGGCCCAAGTCCTTGGGCCCCTGCCACCTGCATGGGAGACCTATAAAGCTTCGGCCTGACCCAGTCCTGGCTGCTGCAATCATTTCAAGAGTGAACCAATAGCTGGGGAATCTCTCTGTCTCTCCCTTTCTCTCTGTTACTCTACCTTTCCAATAACAAAACCTTAGAAACAGAGCACTATATCAAGCAGCACCTAGTTTCTAAAAAAGGAAAATAAATTCATGAAGAGATTATAATTAATGAGAGGGTCTTTATCCTTTATTAAATTATCCACATTTTAAGACTTATAAATTAGAATATCATGTTTTTCAATAAGGAAATCTTACATAATTCCCATTAATTAGCTGAATGGTAAGCCCAAAGATATGTCTATGCCCTAATCCCTGAAACCTGAAAATACTATCTTCCATGGCAAAAGGCGTGACGAAGCTAAGGGCACAGAGAGGAGCTTGTTCTGGACTGTATAGGTGGGTTCTAAATGCCATTACATGTATCCTGGTGAGAAAGGGGCAAGCAGAGTTTTGACAACACAAATACACACGAAAGAAAAGGTGGTATGAGCACAAAAGAGAAGGAGATGTAGCCACCAGCTAAGGAGCGCCACCGAGTGCGGAAGCTGAGCGCGGCAAAGGATGCTTTCTCTCCGAGGGCCTCTGGAGGTAGCAGGGCCCAGCCAAGCCTGATCCCACACACTGGGCCTCCAGATCTGAACTGTGCAAGAATACATATCTGACTTCAGCTTTAGCCACCAAGGCTGTAAAAATCTGCTGCAGCAGCCATGGGAACTGAATACACTGGGGGAAAGAGTTAGAGGCTAATTAGTGTAATTAATTAATTAGTGTACAGTAACACTCTATTTAAAAAGTAATCCTTAAAGCATACAAACTTCAAAGTAAAAAGATAACCCTACATTATAAGTTAACTATATTTAGATGAGATATAATGACACAGTAAGCTCAATTCTTACAGTAGGAACTGAAGCCAACAACTCCGTTACGTGTTAACATGCTGCACAGATTAACACCGAGTGATCGCACAGGGGAACCTCACATACAGAAGCTAAATCTCTAACGCTCCAGCTATAACAATAAAATGTAGCAGGCGAGAGACAGAGGAGTACATTAAATCAAGCTTAATCTTCCAAATCAGACTAAAAGGTCAAGTGGCAGAAATTCAAAACAGCTGTAAAATACCCACAAGTAGATGCTGCTTCTGAAATTACACATCACTAAGTTCAAAGGCTCCAACTGTATGATCCGGTTGAGTGGCAGAACTACCCAGGAACTGACAAACACAGGAGAGGGACATGTGGGAACTTAAATATCACATAGGCCACGATACTTGGGAGAGACCATTTGAGGAAAAAGAAAACACAATTCTGTTATCTGGCAACCACTTGGTCATTGTGAGACTTAAATAAGAAAAAGAATCAATGACTGCAATCTCTCTCAAAACTGGGACACCAGTGCTGGCGCAGTGTCACAGTGCCCTGCCTGAGAGGCTGTGCTGAGGGTCGAGTGAGACGACTCACAGCACCGGCGCGTCTCCACTACACTTACCTTCTGCGCGACGCATTTCAGGGACAGTTACTAGCGTGAAGAGAAAACAAAGCGTACGAATTTTAAAACTGAAGGCTACTTCTCCACCCCGTTCCATGCAGCACTTACCACGTCACTAGCACTGGAGAACTCATTATTAACCAGACTTTCAAGAGCCATCCACCGAACTGGCCTGTTTTCGTTGTCCCCCAGACAGTGGTAGTCCATGGGGAACAAGTCTCTGGAGAGGGCGTTGTCAGTGATCTTCACCTGAAGTGTGTCATCAATCCTGGAAAGTCCACACAGGAGCATCAATGCACTCGGGCATTAACAAGCAGATTGCCTTAAGGCTTAACTACACCTACGTTTCACTGTGACTCCCAGAGACAGCAGCAAACCTGAGGAGCCCTGTACTCTAAGTGACACCGACACGCTCGCGGCACTTACACACAGTTCCTAGCAGCCAGGTCTTTATGGATGACTTCCCTTCTGGCCAGGTAGCTCATTCCACAGGCAATCTGAATAGCCATGTGCACCAGGTCTTGCTGAGAAATGGCCTGGGTAACAGAAAATGACAAGGTTTGAGGATGGATCCCACAATCCTACTCCAAGTACTTCTTCACACATTCCCTGGGCTTCAGAAGTTGTCTCCTGACCAAGAGCAAGTTCCCACAGTTCCCTATTCTGTACTTTCACCAATGATAGCCCTTATTTTATAAATGTCAGCTAAATTCACTTGACTGGCTCATCCATCAGCTGTATCTCCCCAACACCAGGACCTATGACAGCTGCTCAGTGAATACCTCTCTATTCAATGAATGCCAAATTCTCAAGGTAATTTTTCAAATACTTATTACTCAATAACCATTCTTCTCTTTTAAACAATTTTTATTAGATTATCCCCTCTGGAGACTATTTCAAACTAACAACACAGGCTAGACTACATGCATGCCAGTGTTGTGGGGTAAGGAATAACCATTCTTCCCCAGGTGATGCTGTTGGGCCATCACACACAACCATTAGCTTTCATCCTGTCAATTTATAAAGCAAACCACATGTACTAAGCCAAATGCTTAACATAACCTTTGCATTCACTCTCTCCTACCAACTGTAATAAATACACTATTATAAACACAAAAGCTAACTTAGTGAGGCTGTGAGATACAGCAGACAGCGAAGCACCTGCTGGCCCACATCACTACCATGACCAAATGCTTCACAGCGATGGCTTCAGGAGCAATGACACCCGAGGCGATGGACATCCTACAGCCAAGCCTACTGAGAACGTCCTCAATCTCCCCCACAGTCTAGAGACCAGCTACCACCAGCTGTTGGGACAATACGGACCAAATGGCTCTGTAAAGTCTGTTTTCATTCCAGATGGCAATCTAGGACAACTTGGAAGAGTTCTCCAGAAAATCACTGAGATTGTGTCACAGAGGATTTGAATTGACTACAAAGATACAAAAAGTCTTCAAAAACTTCATGGAACATATGCATTATGAAAAAACTATGCATGGATTTCAAATATTTCTTGCACAAAAATAATTTTTTTTCTTTTCTGAAAAGCAGAGAGAGAGATGTGCAAAGAGATAGAGATCTCCCATCTGCTGGTTCACAAACTGCTGGCACTGCCAGGCTGGGCCAGGCCAAAGCCAGGAGCCAGAAACCCAGTCCAAGTCTCCCCCACGGATGGCAGGGACCCAAACACTTGAGTTACCGCCTGCTGCCTCCCAGGGTACACAACAGCAGGAAGCTGGAGTTGGGAGTGTAGCCAGGACCGGAACTTAGGCACTCCAGTATGGGAGGCAGGCAGTATCCACTGTGCCCATTTTATTCCCCCAAAATAAAATGTTAAATTGTTTAACTCCACTTTTCTACAAACTTCTTGAAGTTCTATAACACAAGGAAAACCTTTAGCATCAGCAGAGAGCAACCCTCATTTTCCTCTAAATCAACAGGCTATACATGTATCCTCTGGTTCACTTTGAATTTCTTCTTTGTAGCTCTCTGAACAGTTTATATTTAAGAATGCTAACATCTGTCAAAGATATTAGCAAACATCTCCAGTAAATAACTGGTATTTGGGCAAATTTTTCTTACCTGTGGATTATTGGCCTCTACTAATTTGCACTGCCTTAAAAACAATTTAAGGTTCCCCCAATTCATGTAAGGCAATATCACCATGGGCTTTTCTCCTTCTTCTATACACACATGAGTAATAGGAAGAAGATTTCTGTAAAATAATAAGAAAGTGGGAGAAAGATAAGTGAAATCTTAAAACCTCAGGGGCTTACTTTTAATAATAACCATAAAGATAACTTAAAACAAAATCCCAAATATACTTAAAAGAAGACATGATTACCATTAAAAATGTGAATTTATAAATGCTATTTTAAGCCAGACTTAAACCTTCACCCTATGTGTATTTTGTGGTTAGGCAAGTTGTTTCCTGTGGGCTGTGCCTTTGGAGACCCTCCAGGCACACTAAATTGTCACTCCAAAGGACATAGACACCTGAAAAAGGACTTGACCACGAGTGTATTTTAACAATATCCCACCTATCCCATCATCAAGCTTTTTTTCTTTTACCTTTTTGAAGATTTATTTTATTTATTTGAAAGGCAAAGTAACAGAGAGAGAGAGAGCGCGACAAGAGAGAGCGACAGAGAGCGAGAGAGAGAGATATCTTCCATCTGCTGGTTCACTCCTCAAATGGCTGCAATGGCCAGGGCTGGGCCAGGCCAGTCAGGAGCCCAGAACTCCAGCTGGGTCTCCTGCAAGGGCGTCAGGGGCCCAAGCACTTGGACTATCTCCCGCTGCCTTACCAAGCACATCAGCAGGGAGCTGGATTGGAAGTGGAGCAGTTAAGACTCAAACCAGCACTATGATATGGGATGCCAGTATTGCAAGCAGTGGCTTAACCCATCGCATCACAATGCCGGCCCTCATCTCATATTTTTTAAAAGGCCAATCCAGACTGTGAACAAGAATATGGTCATCACAAAGTCTTCAAAGAGGTTAAAATCACCACAAACGCCAAGACGTGCTTTGTTGCTCACATGGAATTTAGGACAGATTTCTGAGTCCCACAGTTACCCCTTACTGTGCGACCAATCTCTTGGCCTTAGCTTCCATACCTGTAACATCAGGACCACACAACCTGAAAAGCTTGCTATGGTCAGTGCAGAATAAAGCCAAGAATGTGGGAGACAATCTTATTTTCATTTTTCTGGCATTAGGTATATATTTCATCACAGTGTTTCACAGTGCAGATGGCTGCTCTTCTTTATGCCAGCTTATAGAGGAAAGGAGGATAAAGAGGAAGGTCTGGGTCTGCTAAAAAGCAGAAGAGGGCAGACAAGGTGCTGTTGGGCAGAGGCACAGAAGAGTGGATTCTCTGGGGCTCAACACAACAACTGCCTCTAATTGCAGTCTTGCTGAGTGCACAGTGAGGTATCTCTCACCCCAGTTTTAGAATGGCCATCATCAAAAGGACCAAAACAGCAGCAACAAACAATGCTGGCAAGGAGGGGGAGAAAATGAAACCCTTACACTCTGCTTGTGGGAATGCAAATTAGTGCAACCACTGTGCAGAATGCAGTGTGGAGGTTCCTAAACAAAAACACACCATCCATACGACCAGGCTATCCCACGTCAGGCTATAAATCCAAAGGAAAGGAACTCAGCATATGAAGGAGACAGCGCACTCCCACGTTCACTGCAGCACCACAGCCCAGGTGTGGAGTCAGCCTCGGTGTCCATCAGTGCATGAATGGACAAAGGAAATGGAGGATATGCACAATGGGATGGAATTCTATCCTCTGCAGCAAAATGAATGCAACTGGAGAACATTATGCTAAGTGAAATGAGCCAGACACAGAAAGAACATCCTGCACACGGCACGTTCTCTCTGAGAAGCTACACAAGACACTTGATGTAAACTGGAGGTTAGGAAGGGTGGGGGAGATAACGAGTGCTAAAGCACACGTACACAGAGGCAACAAGTTCTAGCGTTCCCAGCACAGGACGGCTCGGTTCACAATGACCTACTACACACTTGATGAGGAAATCAGAGAGGAGCTCGAAGGCCCCAAACATAAAGGAATGAATGACATGCTAACTGCTAATTTGATCAGTACATCCTGCATCCTCCTGTTGAAATATCACATTGTATCCCATAAATATGTACAATTACTATGCTAACTAACATAGTTTAAAAGCAATACTCTAATAAAATAATTTTTATTGGTTTGAACTTGTTTCAGAGGAAACAAGGAGGAAAATTTTTCATTAAGCCAAAAGTTCTTGGCCAGCTATATTTTCTAACTTGCCATTGATGTTTATTAGTCATTTGGATATCCTCTTCTGTGCAGAGCCAGTGAAGTCTTTTGCCCTTTTTCTATTGGGTTATCTTTTTCTTTTTGATTTACAGAAGTTCTTTATATAATCTGAATATATGTCCTAGGTACATGGATGGTGTTAAGCCTGTCTTTTAATCATGATATATCTTTAAAGTGAAAGTCTTAACTTTATTTTTTAAGATGCCTTATTTATTTATTTGATAGTCAGAGTTACACAGAGAGAGAAGGAGAGGCAGAGAGAGAAAGGTTTTCTATCCCCTGGTTCACTCCCCAGTTGGCCACAACAGCCGGAGCTGCACCAATCTGAAGCCAGGAGCCAGGAGCCTCTTCTGGGTCTCCCATGCGGGTGCAGGGGCCCAAGAACTTGGGCCATCTTCTACTGCTTTCCCAGGCCATAGCAGAGAGCAGGATCAGAAGTGGAGCAACTGGGTCAGGAACTGGTGCCCACATGGGATGCCAGCACTGCAGGCAGCGGCTTAACCCACTACGCCACAGTGTCTGCTCCGAAAGTCTTAACTTTAATATAGCTCAATTATTAATTTTTTAATAATATAGTCTTTCTACTTTATTTATTTGAGAGGTAGAGTTACAGACAGAGAGAGGGAGAAACAGAGAGAGAGGTCTTCATTCTCTGAAGAATGCTGCTTCACTCCTCAATTGGCTGCAATGGCCGGACCTGAGCCAATGCAAAGCCAGGAGCCAGGAGCTTCTTCCGGGCCTTCCACAGGAGTGCATGGGCCCATTTTCCACTGCTTCTGCAGGTCACAAGCAGAAAACTGGATTGGAAGAGGAGCAGCTGGGGCATGAACCACATGAGATGCTAGCACAGCAGGCAGAGGTTCAGCCTCCTATGCTACAGCACCAGCCTCCAATTCGTAATTCTTCAAGTGGAGGCACTCTTTTGTTGGTTCTATTTAAACAACCTGGCCAACCTGCTGAACCTATTTAATGAGTTTTTAATTTCTGTTGTTTCATTTTTCAGTTCTGGAATTTCCATTTATTTATTATTGTTTCCAGTCAGTGCTCTGCTAAAGTTCTCTTTCTTCCTTTAACACATTATAATTGTTAGTTTTAAATCTGTGTCTGGGGGCCAGCACTGTGGTACAGTGGGTTAAAGTCCCTGCCTGCAGTACTGGCATCACATATGGGAGCCGGTTCCAGTCCCGGCTGCTCCACTTCTGATCCAGCTCTCTGCTGTGGCCTGGGAAAGCAGTAGAAGATGGCCCAAGTGCTTGGGTCCCTGCACCCATGTGGGAGACCCAGAAGAAGCTCCTGGCTCCTGGCTTTGGATCGGCCCAGCTCTGGCTGTTGCAGCCATCTGGGGAGTGAATCAGAGGATGGAAGACATCTCTCTCTCTCTCTCTCTCTCTCTGGTTCTCTTTCTCTCTAACTCTTTCAAATAAATAAATCTTTAAAAGAATATATGTCTGATAAATCTACTAGCTAGATCCTTTTGGGTCCTATACATTTTTCCCCTTGATTTGGAACACATAAACTTGTCTTCTTGTTAAAAAGCAAAACAAAACAAAAGAACAAAATTATGGACTGGCATTGTGGCCCAGGGGGTTAAGCTGCCACCTGCAAAGCCAGTAGCCCATATGAATGCCATTTTGAGGCCTGTCTGTTCAACTTCTGATCCAGCTCCCTGCTAAAACACCTGGGAAAGCAGCAGAAGATGGCCCAAGTGCTTCTGCCTCTGCCACCCAGGTAGGTGGAAGACCCATATGGATTTCAGGTTCCTGATTTTGGCCTGGCCCAGCTCTGGCTGATGTGGCCACTTGGGGAGCCAAAACAGTAGATAGAAGGTATTTCTCTTTCTCTCTCTCTCATTGTGTGTGTGTGTATATGTGTGTGTGTGTGTGTGTGTCTGTGTCCCCCTCTCTGTGTAACTCTGCCTTTCAAATAATAATCTTTAAAAAAAAAAAAAAAAGAGATGAACTGCTAAGTGAATGGAGGAACAATACACTTTCTACAATCTGACAATGCATTTTGTTGGTCCTAAGTAGGAATCCTGGTACCAGCAGCCATAACGAAGCTATACCCTGCCTTTAGACATTTAACCCCTGAATGCCTAGCATCCAATCACTGCAACTCGGTAGTCATTCCACTTGTTCCCTGAGGGGACACTGGGACTGACTCATCCCGACAGGCCTACAGAATGCCTGCATCAGAAAATTCGGCACAGGGCTGGTGTGAACGTTTGTCAGCCAAGGTGTCTTTAAGGCAGCAGAATACACAAAGCTGTGCTTGGGGAAAAGCCTGGCTTTGTGCATATTTAACTGCCACACACTTCCATGCTGTAGTGCAGACCTGTCCTCAGGGTAGGAATGCTGGCTAGGTGCCTAAGGCTAGGTCAGCATCATATACTAGTATTACACACTTTGGATCTTCTCCCTAGAGTCAGCTAACAGAACATCAAGCACTCCCAACACTGCCAAAAAAGATATTTCCAATTCAGTGTTTCCCAGTTCTTGTCAAATGCCTAGTAGAGGGGTGGAACGTTTGGCACAGCAGTTAAGTTTCTGCTTGAGACGTCTGCATGCCATTTTGGAGTACTCACTTCAAATCCCAACTTCTCCATTTCCAATCCAGCTTTCTGCCAATGTGTGCCCTGGAAGGTAGGAGGTGATGGCTCAAATACTTAGGTCCCTGCTACCCTCGTGGGAGACCAAGATTGAGTTACGAGCTTCTGCCTTTGACCTGGACCAGCCCCGTCTGCTGCAGGCCTTTGGGGAATGACTAGAGCACAGATCTCTGTTCCTGTCTCTCTGCCATTCAAATAAAATGAAAACAAAAAGTCTAGTTAATAAAAATGTCCTTTTTAGAAAATGAAGTCTGAAGGCTGAGTTGTCCATCCATTCCTCTGCAAGGATAGGTTCACTTGCAGTGAATCAGGCCAATGGAAGGTAACATTTTGAACCACATAAGTTTACCTTCCAAAGGGACCCTGTCACTGTCCCTCAATATAGTGCGTTCACTTATTCCAAAGATTTCTGCCTTCTTTTATTTTTTTATTTTTTATTTCTTTATTTGACAGAGTCAGACAGTGAGAGAGACAGAGAGAAACCTTTCGTTGGTTCACCCCCCAAATGGCCACCATGGCTGGTGCTGCACTGATCCGAAGCCATGAGCCAGGTACCTCCTCCCGGTCTCCCATGCGGGTGCAGGGCCCAAGCACTTGGGCCATCCTCCACTGCCTTCCCGGGCCACAGCAGAGAGCGGGACTGGAAGAGGAGCAACCGGGACTAGAACCCGGCGCCCATATGGGATGCCAGTGCCGCAGGCAGAGGATTAACCAAGTGAGCCATGGCGCCGGCCCCTGCCTTCTTATTTTCAAAGAAAAAATAGGATTATTTGATATTTTATTAATGGATTATATGATAATAAGAAATCTGCCTCAGAATTTGAAAGCAGGAAAATTTTTCTTCTCCCTCAAAAAACAACTGTGTTTCTTTCCCTTCTGCTACTGAGAATTATCAACTTAAAAAAAAATATTTGAAAGGCAGAGTTACAGGGAGAGAGGGAGAGGCAGAAAAACAGAGATCTTCCATCTCGTGATTCACTCCCCAAATAGTGACCAACGGCCAGGACTGGGTCAGGTTGAAGGCAGGAACCTGGAACTCCATCCGGATCTCCCACCTGGGTGCAGGGGCCCAAGCACGTGGGCCATCTTCTACTGCTTTCCCAGGTGCATTAGCAGGGAGCTGAATGAGAAGTGATGCAGCTGGGACTTGAACTGGCACTCATACTGGATGCCGACACTGCAGACAGTGGCCCAGCCCCCTGCACCATGTCACCCGTCCTGAGAATTATCAACTTTTATTGTTCCCTCTACCGTTGGTTGCCCAGAAGTTAAGAGTTGTTTAAAAATAGCTAAGACCTGGGACCAACCCAAATGCCCATCAACAGTAGACTGGATAAAGAAATTATGGGACATGTACTCTATAGAATACTATACAGCAGTCAAAAACAACGAAACCCAGTCATTTGCAACAAGATGGAGGGATTTGGAAAACATCATGCTGAGTGAATTAAGCCAGTCCCAAAGGGACAAATATCATATGTTCTCCCTGATTGGCGACAACTAACTGAGCACCAAAGGGGAAACTTGTTGAAGTGAAATTGACACTGTGAGAAACAGTGACTTGATCAGCTCTTGTCCTGACGGTTGATGTACAATGTAATACTTTATCCATTTTAGTATTTTTTTTTGTTCTAGTACCATTGGTTGAACTCTGTAATTAACACACAATTATTCTTAGGTGTTTAAATTTTAACTGAAAAGTGATCCTTGTTAGGAATTTGGAAAACATTATGTTGAGTGAAATAAGCCAATCCCAAAGGGACAAATACCACTTGTTCTCCTTGATAGGTGACAACTAACTGAGCACCAAAAAGGAAACCTGTTAAAGTGAAATGAACACTATGAGAAACGGTGACTTGATCAGCCCTCACCCTGACTGTTGATGAGCAGCTTAATATGTTATCCCTCTTAGTATTTTTTGTTTGTTTGTTCTACTTAATACTTTTGGTTGAATACTGTAATCAATACACAATTCTTCTTAAGTGCTGAAACTTAACTGAAAAATGATCGCTGTTAAATATAAGAGTGGGAATAAGAGAGGGAAGAGATGTGCAATTCGGGACATGCTCAAGCTGACTTACCTCAAATGGTAGAGTTAGAAACATACCAGGGGATTCGAATTCAATCCCATCAAGGTGGCATGTACCAATGCCATCTCACTAGTCCCAGTGATCAATTTCTGTTCACAATTGATCGTAATGATAGCACTAAGAACCAAAGGGATCACATAAACAAGAATAGTGTCTGCAAATACTAGCTGATAGAATAAAAAAGGGAGAGAATGGTCCAACATGGGAAGTGAGATACACAGCAGACCCATAGAATGGCAAATGTCCTAACAGCACTCTGGCCTCAGAATCAGCCCTTAAGGCATGTGGATCCGGCTGAAATGCCCATGAGAGTATTTTAGGCATGGAAAGCCAAGACACTCTGGGGAAAAAAAAAAAAAAAAACCTAAATGAAAGATCTCCACGAGTGAGATCCCAGTGGAAAGAATGGGTCATCAAAGAAGGAGGTACCTTTCTCTGAAGGGAGGAGAGAACTTCCACTTTGACCATGGCCTTGTCTAAAAATGATCAGAGTTGGTGAACTCAGGGGGCTTCCATAGCCTTGGCAGCTCATGACAAGAGCCTAGGGTGATTACTGATGCCATAAACAAGAGTGTCAATTTGTTAAGTCAACTTACTCCTCATGTAGGATCTTTGTCCTTAGTGTGCTGTACATTGAGATTTAATGCTATAACTAGTACTCAAACAGTATTTTTCACTTTATGTTTCTGTGTGGGAGCAAACTGTTGAAATCTTTACTTAATGTATGCTAAACTGATCTTCTGTATATAAAGAGAATCGAAAATGAATCTTGATATGAATGGAAGGGGAGAGGGAGTGGATAAGGGGAGGGTTGCGGGTGGGAGGGACGTTATGGGGGGGAAGCCATTGTAATCAATATTCTGTACTTTGGAAACATATTCATTAAATAAAAGTTTAAAAAAATTAAAAAAAAAGAAATACATGCTAGAAATGCACTAGAAGTGCTGAAATATCTAACTTACTACAGAATATTTTCACACAAATACCTAGATCTAGACTATATAGAGCTACACACATAGAAAGAGATAAACACACACACACACACACATACACACACACACACAAAGCCACTATGACAAAATGTTAACTATTGCCGGCATTTATTACTGGTGTTTATTATTTTTGTCTTTGCTGCTGTATGTTCAAAAATTTCATAATAAATATTTTTAGCATAAGTGCATCAGACTATTTTTAATAAAAAAGGGAAATACGCACATAAGTATGTATGAACTATCTCTGGAAAACTTAGCTATAATTACCCAGATGTGGGCTTACATACTATATTCTTTAGACTTTACTGTGCTTGTAAATGTGCATGTACTTGACTTTTATATTCAGAAAAAAAATGCAGCTATGCAAAAAGTGTTCAGTTCGTAACTCGCGGCCAGTTCCCGCAGGGAGAAGGCAGCGTGGAGGGCTGGGTGCCTCACAGGCTGGCGGCCCCTCCTCTCACCTGTGGTGGAGACCTCGCAGCTTGCAGCTTTCAGTGAGCATCATCGTCACCTGGACTTCAGAAGCTTGATCTAGACACAGAAAAGAAACTGTGCTGAGTGATGACACCATACACATGCAATGATTATCTGACTGCAAGATAAACTTCCATTACAAGTTACAGGTAAATCTAACTAGATCTACTCCGAAGTTTTACTGCAGTAGACAGAGTCTCATTGGCAGGTCAGCTTTCACAGAAATTCTTACATAAAAATTAGAAATTTAGTAAGGTCCCATAAGTAAATAGGAAAAGCAGTAACAGATGGGAAAATATCTCTAACATAAGGCATGTAAGGATAATTTCCTTTTTCTCCTTTTTCACAGAACTTTTACAAATCAGTAAGGAAAAATACTGAGACAGAGGCAGAGGATGTAAACATAGAGTTTACTGAGACAAGAAAAAAAAAAACACAGAAGAACAAGAGGATTATAAAACAGCTGTCAGCTTCACTTCCACATACAGAAAGGCCATTTTCCCCACCGGAATGAAACAGAGCGAGACATTCAGCTACTTGCCAGTTGGGCAACAATGTGTAGAAGCAGGCTATCAACCGCATTTAGGGTAGGTAGAGAAAACAATGCCCAACAACATTTTCAATGAACATATGCTTCACATTATTTCATTGCTAAGAGTCCACAGATATACTCAAAGACTCATCTATAGTATGCCCATGTGTGCCTTTCAAAATGTTTGCACTAGAACAAACTTTAAAGATTTATGTATTTGAAAGGAAGAGTGACAGGGGAGATGGAATGAGAAAGAAATCTGCAATCTGATGGTTTGCTCCCCAAAGGGCCACAGTGGCCAAGGCTGGGCCAGGCTGAAGCCAGGAGCTCCATCTTGGGTGGCAGAAGCATAAGCACTGGGACCATCTTCCTCTGCCTTCCCAGGTACACGAGCAGGGACATGAACAGGAAGCAGAGCAGCTTGGATCTGAAGGCCAGCATCATAAGCAGCGACTCAACCCACTGTGCTCCCATACCAGCCCCACAGCCTTGTCTTGTAATTCCACTTTCCATACATTTTTTAAGTACTATCATAAATAATGTAAAAAGGACACCATTCAACTGAACAGCAAAAAACTCCTATCAACCAAAGTATTGATAGAGAACTAATGAAACTGGGCCAATGCAACACCACATAGCTACTTTTTAAAAAATAAGAGGAACACCTTTGAAATATATTAAATTTTAAAAGCAACATACAAACCTGCGCTTGTAAGACGTGACAGTTTTTTTTTCTTTAAGACAGGCAGAGTTAGTGAGAGAGAGAGACAGAGAGAAAGGTCTTTTTTCCATTCGTTCACCCCCTCAAATGGCCACTACGGCCAGCATGCTGTGTTGACCCAAAGCCAGGAGCCAGCTGCTTCCTCCTGGTCTCCCATGAGGGTGCAGGGGCCCAAGCACTTGGGCCATCCTCCACTGCCTTCCCGGGCCACAGCAGAGAGCGGGACTGGAAGAGGAGCAACCGGGACTAGAACTCGGCGCCCATATTGCATGCCGGCGCTGCAGGCGGAGGATTAGCCAAGTGAGCCATGGCACTGGCCCCAGGGGTTATGTTTTAAAAACATTTGGGAATATTTCTTTTCTTACTCACGAAAAGAATCATAAGAAATTGTTTATGGTGGTTATTTTTCAAGATGACAGAATTTACATCCTCTAATGTTTTCTTGTTTATGCTTCCTAACCTTACAAATATATAACTAAAAAAAAAAAAAAAAAAAAGACCACAGGAGCTCTAATTGGAGTTGACAGCTCATTTATTATTTTCTTCTTACCTCTCTGTGGTTAAAAACAAACACAAAGAAATAATAACTGAACTAGCAGAAAATTAACCTTCATATAAAAGCCAATCCAAGGACTATTCCATTTCATTTTCAGCTTCTAAACTTGTGGTTTTGGGTTCAAAGTAGCAAAATAAAAGTAGAACTGACTTTTAGGTCAATGTTTTTTCAACAAACTTGATAATGCAATTTGCCAATATCTCCAGTCTGTATCTCCAAAAGAAAGTTTAAGCTGTCAAGTATTTGCAAGAACCCAGGATTCCTCATCTTACAGGGACTGCTATCTTAATAGTATAAAGGAATTTTTCCACTGCTTGAACAGAACCTTTCTATTAAATAAATGCTGTATTTCTGTTGTAAAACTGAAAACGTTTGAGTTATTTAAAATATTTTTAAGAATCAAAAACGAGGCTCAGTGTTGTGGCTAGGAGATGAAGCCTCCATCTACAGGGCTGGCATCCCACTTGGATGCTGGTCCAAGTCTCCACTGCTCCACTTTGATCCAGCTCCCTGCTAATGTGCCTGGGAATGTGGTGGAGGATGGCTCAAGTCTTTGAGCCCCTGCACCTACATGAGAGACACAGAAGAAGCTCCTGGCTTCAGCCTGGCTCAGCCCTGACTGTGTGGCCATTCGGCGAGTGATACAGCAGATGGAAGATCTCTTGCTCTCTCTCTGTACTTCTGCCTTTCAAGTAAATAAATAAATCTTTAAAAATAAGTAAATAAAGAACAAACTTGAATGTAGTGCATCTATCTTTAAAAATACTTTTCAAAGAAACCAATAATTAACTTTATGAGGTCAGTAAAAACACTAACAATTATTTATAAAGCTCCTGGTCAATGTAATAAGAGGGAGAAAATAATTCAAAAGAGTGGCAAAGCCAGATCCACATTCCAGACCCTTATAGTGAAATGCTCAACCAACAATGAAAGCCATGAGCCTGGGTCCCGCACTATGACTGCCATATTCACTCCTTAAAATACAGCTGAGAAATCTGAAAGTAAATTTACTTTTTTAAAAATTTGTTTGTTTGAAGGGCAGAGTTACAGAGGCAGAAAAAGAGAGAGAGAGACAGAGACAGAGAGAGAGGGGGAGGAAGAAGGAGAGGGAGGGAGGGGTCTTTCATTCACTGGTTCATTTCCCAAATGGCCTCAACAGTTGGAACTGGGCCAATCCGAAGCCAGGAGCCAGGAGCCAGGAGCCAGGAGCCAGGAGCTTCTTCTGGGTCTCCCACATGGGTGCAGGGATCCAATCACTTGGGCCATCCTCTACTGCTTTCCCAGGCGTATTGGCAGGGAACTGGATTGTAAGTGGCACAGCTGGGACTCGAACCAGCACCCATATAAGATGCTGGCACTGCAGGCGGCCCTACTACACCTCAGTGCCGGCCCCTAAATTTACTTTCAAAACTGGAATGTCATTCTCTGCAGCACACTCTCTCCCATTACTTGCTATTAGTGTCCTCTTTCCACATAACTAACCCTCCCCTCCCCCCCCCGCCCCCCCTCTTTCCGTCTTTAAAGCTTTGGTGAAGATTTTTGTAGGAATGTGAAATGGGTAGAAAAATTCGAGACAAAGACTTGAAATATTTGGTATATTTTTATCTGCTGAAATAAATTCTAGTTATCTAAAACTGCTTAAAATACAGGATCATTTAGTGAATGGCAGAACATACCCTAGGTACTCTTTCTAGAAACCACATAATTTCTAGTGAAATTGTGGCCTGACTCTTGGGAGTTGGGAGGATCTTTTGAATACTGAGAATCAGTAATAGTTGGAGGTCTCCACCCAGTTAGTAGGAGTTCACCGACCTCTCAACAGGCAAGGAGATTCAAGTACTACATAAGGTAATTTCAGCATGCCATTTCATATATACTTAACTTCCTTTTTAAAATTAATATGTAATAAATTTTTGAGAAGTTCTTAACTTTGATAAGCATATTCTTATTTGAGTTGGATTATAATCTAGAAAACTTTCAAAGGGAGAAAAGAATAAGTTTATACATTTAGTAAGAAAAGCTCATCTTCAGGCCGCATTGTGGTGTAGCTGGTAAAGCCACTACCAGCAGTGCCAGCATTTGGGTGCCGGTTCCAGTCCCAGATGCTCCATTTCCAATCCAGCTCTCTGCTATGGCCTGGGAAAGTAGTAGAAGATGGCCCAAGTCCTTGAGCCCCTGCACCCCTGTGGGAGACCTGGAGGAAGCTCCTGGCTCCTGGCTCCTGGCTCCAGATCAGTGCAGCTCCAGCAGTTGCGGCCATTTGGGGAGTGAACCAGCAGATAGAAGACCTCTCTCTCCTTTCTCTCCTCTCTGCCTTTCAAATAAATAAATAAATCATTTTTAAAAAAGAGAGAAAGAAAAGCTAATTTTCCTGGACTGCTCTCCCAATCTAGCCCTAGTCGTAAATAGTAAGAGGTCTATCCTCAAAATGAGTACATTGAAAAGGGTGCTACAGGGCGGGGCCGTGGCTCACTTGGCTAATCCTCCGCCTGCAGCTGGTACCCCAGGTTCTAGTCTCAGTCGGGGCACTGGATTCTGTCCCAGTTGCTCCTCTTCCAGTCCCGCTCTCTGCTGTGGCCTGGGCAGGCAGTGGAGGATGGCCCAAGTGCTTGGGCCCTGCATCTGCATGGGAGACCAGGAGGAAGCACCTGGCTCCTGGCTTCAGAATTGGCGCAGTGCACCGGCCATAGCGGCCATTTGGGGGGTTGAACCAACGGAAGGAAGACCTTTCTCTCTGTCTCTCTCTCTCTCTCTCTCAATGTTTAACTCTGCCTGTCAGAAAAAAAAAAGAAGAAAAAAAAAAGAAAAGGGTGCTACAAAATAATTTCCAGTCCCCAAATTACAAAACAGCACAAAATAGGGGAAAAAACACAAACACTCATTTCCAAAACTTCAAAGATTTAGCAACTATGAAAGAAAATAAGAACTTAATACCAATAACCTCAACTTGATTCATTTACTTTATGAATTCAATTTCATATTTATTATGTAAGATTTAGGTTTCCAATTTCTAGAAATTACTGGAACATCCATTTAGGTTTCTGCACAAAATTAGAAACTTTTCAAAGAGCCAAACTCTAATTTCCTACTGATGTCTAAAGGCAAAGGTCAATGTACTCTAAACAACTTAACTTAGAGCCACCTTTGTGGCACAGCAGTATCCCATTTGGGGGCCAGTTTGAGTCCCGGCTGCTCCACTTCCAATCCAGCTCCCTGCTAATGCACTTGGGAAAGCACAGCAGAAGATGGCCCAAGTGCTTGGGCCCCTGCACCCACATGGGAGATTTGAATAGAGTTCCAGGCTTCTGCTTCAGCCTGGCCCTGCCCACGCCACTGTGGACATTTGTGGAGTGAACCAGCAGATGCAAGAGACCTCTCTCTCTTCATAACTCTACCTTTCAAATAAATTATTTAAAAAAATATTTTGCTATTTTATGCAAAACCTCTAATTAAGGAGCATGTAACAAAGCATACAGATTTGTGAAAGAACATTCTATGTAGATTTAATTGAAAAATAACATTCCAAAGAATACATCTCCGAGATAACCAGGTGGGGTTCTCTAACAACTGTGCCGTACCCTGGTGTACTTCTACCCTGTCCTTCATGCAAACCATGGCCCTTACATGGCTGAGCACTCACTGTGCTGTCTCTTACTTCTGTCTAGCTGACAGAGAACTTTATAATTACAGTTGTAAGGCAGAGAAACAACCAAGGGACTAAAATTCAAGTATATACAGAACAAGAAATATTATCTTAGGGGACAGTACCAGTATCCTCATTGTGTTTTCTCATCAATATTTCCTCCCGCACCCCCCCCCAACCCAATTCTGTATGGACACTTCCCACAAGATTCACTCAGAAAAATTAATAATAGCCAAGTTTAGAACAATCCACAGAATGTTTACAAATCCCAGAAGAAAGAGAATTATGGGGAAATGTTTCTGTAAAAAAAAAACAGGGAATGAGTATAAAAATAGCTGTTTTATTAAAACTATGGTTCAAACTTCACATTTATTAAAATTGGTAAACTATCCTTAAAAGATCATGTCGCTCCCCCTCTTTGTGGAGGAACGACACTAAACCCTGCCTAGGCTTCATATCCAAGTCACGGATCCATTATGTCGCTCCCCCTCTTCGTGGAGGAACGACACAGGACCCTGCGTTGTTCTTTCGTCTGCTCGGCCCTCCCCGGGTTTGCTGCTGGTTCTTCCCGGGTTGGCTACCGTCCATTCCACCTCCATGGAAGGGTGGTTCCCCCTGCCACTTTCCCCACTTCCGCGGGGGAGCGGCACACCGCTGGCCGGCTCTCTCGGGGGCTGCTCAGGTGTTCCCCATAGATGTTCCCGGTGCATGCCGTCTCTCTCCTCCTTTATAGTCCTCTTCCACCAATCCCAACTCTGCTACCCACACGCCGAGTATGCTGCTCTCCTCCAATCAGGAGCAGCTCCTGCTGCTTATTGGTTGAACTGGAGGCAGCTGTGTAGAAGCTGTTTCCTCCTCTCCCAGCGCCATATTGTGGGAGAGCAGATGCATAGAATAAGTCTTAATTCCAGTAACTTAGTCTAGTCCGAGTTGCTCCCCACAGATCAGAAGTCTATTGGAACCTAACTGAAGTATTAGCCTTAAAAGTTTTGGAGGAGGCCGGAGCCACGGCTCACTAGGCTAATCCTCTGCCTTGCGGCGCCAGCACACAGGGTTCTAGTCAGGGCGCCAGATTCTGTCCCAGTTGCCCTTCTTCCAGGCCAGCTCTCTGCTGTGGCCCGGGAGTGCAGTGGAGGATGGCCCAAGTCCTTGGGCCCTGCACCCGCATGGGAGACCAGGAGAAGCACCTGGCTCCCGGCTTCGGATCAGCTCAATGCGCCGGCTGTAGCGGGCCGGCCGCGGCGGCCATTGGAGGGTGAACCAATGGCAAAAGGAAGACCTTTCTCTCTGTCTCTCTCTCTCTCACTGTCCACTCTGCCTGTCAAAAAAAAAAAAAAAAAAAAAAAAAGCTTTGGAGGAAATAAATATTCAATTAAATAGTAAGCTAAACCACTAGTTTAAAAAATATATGGGGCTGGTGCTGTGGCGTAGCGGGTTAATGCCCTGGCCTGAAGCGCTGGCATCCCATATGGCTGCCGGTTCAAGTCTCGGCTGCTCCACTTCCAATCCAGCTCTCTGCTATGGCCTGGGAAAGCACCCGTGTGGGAGACCTAGAAGAAGCTCCTGGCTCTTAGCTTCAGATCAGCGCAGCTCTGGCCTTTACGGCCATTTGGGGAGTGAACCATCGGATGGAAGACTTCTCTCTCTCCTCTTTGCCTCTCTTCTCTCTGTGTAACTCTGACTTTAAAATAAATAAATAAATAATTTTAAAAAAAGATAAAGGGTGTGTGTGTTATTTGAAGCAGCCTTAAACAAGTATTTTGCCAAATTACAATTTTTAAATTCCAAAAATCTTTTTTTTATTTTTCATTTTTTATTTTTTTGACAGGCAGAGTGGACAGTGAGAGAGATACAGAGAGAAAGGTCTTCCTTTTCCGATGGTTCACCCCCCAATGGCCGCTGCGGCTGGCGCGCTGCGGCCAGCACACTACGCTGATCTGAAGCCAGGAGCCAGGTGTTTCTCCTGGTCTCCCAGGGCCATCCTCCACTGCACTCCCGGGCCACAGCAGAGAGCTGGACAGGAAGAGGAGCAACTGGGACAGAATTCGGCACCCCGACCAGGACTAGAACCCAGGGTGCCGGTGCTGCAAGGCGGAGGATTAGCCTATTGAGCCGCGGTGCCAGCCTCCAAAATCTTTTGTTAGACTTTATAGAAATAATAAATGTAAATCCTTCATACTTTCAATGTATTCTTTAATTTGGAAATATAATTCTTATAAATTAATTTTGCAAATGTCATATAATTTTGTTGTCTATAAAATAGACTATAATTTTCCCCTCAACATTAAAGTGCAAACTGCATTTTTCAGAAATTAATATTTGGTCATTTCAGTGCATTTCAGACATTGATATTTAACATCCTCTATATTACCACATTTTTGTTCCTCTCAAAATGAGCATTGTGGTACAGTGGGTTAAGCCATCACCTATGATGCCAACTCCCATACTGAGCACTGGTTCAAGTCCTGGCTGCTCTGTTTAAGATCCAGCTCCCTGTTAATGTACCTGGGAAAGCAGTGGAAGAAGGTCCAAGTGCTTGGGGGCCCCTGCCACCCACATAGGAGACTTGAGTAGAATTCCGGGCTCCTACCGTCAGCCTGGCCTAGGCCCTGGCTGATTACGGACATTTGGGGAAGTGAACCAGTTGATGGAAGATCTTTCTCTGTCTCTCCCTCTGTCACTGTCACTCAGCTTTCAAATAAATAAAATAAATCTTTTCAAAAAAATGAACAAATAAAAGACTTAACTAAGAATTATTTAGCTTTACAAATATTATTCATAAGTAATTAAAATCCTAGTATTATGAAGTCTTGGTAATTTACCAGTATAGGGAACTAGGCCATATACAAGTATGGAAAACACTGTAGAATTTTGACAAGGAATTTCTAAATGAGTAATTTATAAAAAAAATCAAAAAATTAAAAATTAGGTATCATCAAAAGATAGGCCAAAATAAGAGCATATAAAAACTGACATTGTGAAAATATAAATTAGTGCTATATTTTAAAGAATAATCTGACAACATCTATAAAAACATTAAATGAACACAACTATTGGGCCAGCAATTCCAACTACTGCTATCTTGTAGAAGTATACCATAAAATACACAGACACACACACAGAGACACACACACAGAGACACACACACACAGACACACACTTCCTGCAGTGTTATACAGTCAATGAAAGAAAAAAGAGGGGAATGAAAAGTAAACAGTGGCTATCCAAGTAAGCTACAAGGGGTTATTTAAATTTTTTTTTCAATAGTCTTCAATATCAGGAGGGAAAAACTACTGATAATGTTTTCTAAAGGGGAAAGACAATACCAAAGGAATTTTAACTTTGGAAAAATTCAACATTAGATACAGCAACAACGAAGTGAATGCAGTTTAAAATCCTGAGTAAAATCGCATTAATCTTACTGTCTTCATTAATCAGACTTCTGTTTTCTAAATCTATTGAAAGCAACTCAAATCTCCTTAAAAAAATTAGCCTCTATGGGCTAAATTAACACAGAGCTGGGTACACTGAGAAATGGAGACAGAAGTTTGCCAGCATGATCCACCTTAGACAGAAAAGCATTACGGAAATTTTATGGAAGGAAATCATACCTTTAACTGTTTTTACAAATGCTTGTTTTTCTTTATTTGAATCTTTTTCATCTAATAAAATCCCATGGAAAATACGCCCAAAAGTACCTAAAAAGAAAAACAATAATTAATTAAATCATACAATAACCTTCATAAAAGTATAGTACAAAAACTTTCTGGCATAACATATTTACAACAAACATAATGGGCATATGTGTTCAACACTATTACTCCACAGTAAAATGAATCAGATCATTTGTATTCAACAACTGTTAGAAGTTCTTGGGGGGGGGGCGGCACTGTGGCATAGCAGGTAAAGCCACTGCCTACAGCACTGGCATCCTATATGGGTGCTGGTTCCAGTCCTGGCTGCTCCACTTTCAATCCAGCTCTCTGCTATGGCCTGGGAAAGCAGTGGAAGATGGGCCAGGTGCTTGGGACCATGCACCCACGTGGGAGACCCAGAAGAAGCTCCTGGCTCCTGGCTTTGGATCGGTGCAACTTCGGCTATTGCAGCCAATTGGGGAGTGAGCCAGTGGATAGAAGACTTCTCTCTGTCTGCCTCTCCTTCTCTCTCTGTGTAACTCTGACTTTCAAATAAATAAATAATTCTTTAAAGAAAAAAAAGTTCTTAGTAACCATGAAACGTCTTAAATGCTTTAAGAAATACCATATCTAAGCTAAGTATACAAGACTTTTGTTTTTTCCATTAATGGGGTAACCACAGAGGCATTTAGGAGTGTCTAGGCTTAGGCTCAGCACAATGACAAAGGAAGCAAAGCGGACCCGTTTTCCTGCTGCTGTAGAGCTAAGCCGCTCCAGGGGAAGGCCAGGGGTATCCAAGTCTTGGATTCAAACAGTCCTGGGTTCTCATTATGCTACCACTCACTACTTAGATCTCCAATCAGTTGTTCAACCTCTCAAGTAACTGGCAAAATTCCTAAAATTCATTATAGTAAGAAGAGAAGTGACAACCTTTTTTTGAAGGGAAAGAGTGTTTAAAAATGGGAGGAGCTTAAAAATGAATTCCAATGGGGCGGTGCTGTGGCATAGTGGGTAAAGCTGCCGCCTGCAGTGCCAACATCCCACGTGGGTGCCGGTTCGAGTCCCGGCTGCTTCACTTCTGATCCAGCTCCCTGGTAATGTGCCTAGGAAAGCAGAAGATGGCCCAAGTCCTTGGGCCCTGCACCCTCATGGGAGACCCAGAAGAAGCTCCTGGCTCCTGCCTTCGGATCAGCACAGCCTGGTTGTTGTGGATATCTGGGGAGTGAACCAGAGGATGGAAGACTTCTCTCTGCTTCTACCTTTCTGTACCTCTGCCTTTCAAATAAATAAATAAATATTAAAAAAAAAAAACACAAGAATTCAGGAAGCTATCAGCCTCTTTTTTAAAAAAAATGGATTATGAAAATCCAGATTTTACTAGCAGTTTTCTAACTGCTAACAAAAGCTCCTTAATGAGATGATCATCAAAAGTTCATCTCATCTCACTTTCCCACTAGGAAAGATTTACTTTGCTTCCTTCACCATGTCAAAAATATGCTTGCAGCTACTTCTGCTTTGCTGCAGGCACACACACATCAACAGGCCTGCTCTAATGCCCTCCGCTCTGTTAGCTGGAGGTGCTGGTGCCCGCTATCAAGTCTCACTGAGGCCCAGAGACACAGAGTACCCACAAGTGTGAGACAAAAGCTTTGATTATCTGTACTTAACATCTTTGTCTAGAGCTAAGTAAGTACCTTCAAATACACGAGTCAATACATACGACCACATACCCTGACCTTCAGTCCCTTCCTAACAACACTCTTCCCTTCCTGCACTTGAACTGACCTGGCCTGACTAAGCTTCTATATCTCTTCAAGCGGCAAGGCAAAACAAAAGGTGCTCTTCCCAGTACCTAGTCCATCTTGAAGTACTTCCAAACATGGATTGACATAAAATTAAACCCTTAGGATTTAGGGAACACACACAAAAGTGTACCTGTGTGTGTGTGTGTGTGTTACTATAGTAATTAATATTCCTACTAGCAATATGGAAGAGAGCCTGCTCCCTCAATATCCCTTTCAATTAGATATTATCTTTTTAATTCTCTTAATTGAACAGATTAAAAACAGAATGTAATTAGTGTTTGATTTGCATTTATCAGATTTCCAGTGAATCTGACCATTTCTTACAAAAATGTTAATTAGCTCTTATTTTCTTTTCTGAAATCAAGTATCATTGAATTACTGGAATTGTAACTACGAAATTCATGAAAATTGTTCTCTCTATATTAATAAATGAAGTAATAATAGAAAAAAATGCATACAGGCTTGAAAACATTAAAGAAAACAACCTAATCCAGAATCATCTCCTTTCCTTACATTATACCACCGCAACAGATCACTTGTTCTATCAAAGTAGAGATCAAAATCACCTACAAATACAACGGGACTCATTGGTTTCTCATTCCTTGGACTGTTCAGGAAACACTGACTGGTTTACCTGCTCTCCTCAGGTGGCAGGCAGATCTGAAAATCAGTTAGGCGTAGACAGATGACAGCCCTCACAAGTGGCATTCACACTCTGAAGAACTCGTCCAAGTCTCCGTCCATGAGTGACCACTCGCCATTGAGGGCAGTCTCTCACTAGGCTGTGACTGACCTACAACTATCCCAACCATCAGATGAAGACAGCACAACTCATATGCATCTCAAACACTGAAACTGAGTTACGGCAATGGTATTTAAAAAAAAAAAAAAAGTAATTCTTTAAGAACTTCAAGAGCTCAACGCAGTACTTTATTAATTTCTGTCCTCTTCCTTCAGCATCTCCCTAATACTCTAAAATTCAAAAAGCAAAGGACCAGCAAAAGGGAAAGGTACTAATATCTATCAAACAACACTGTGTGTTAGTTCACTGAATTTTCTTCATCTCATCTAGTCTTCATAACTAGTCTAAGAGTTGCCAATGTGGCCCAAATTTACCAAAGAGGAAACTGGAGATCAAAGACAGTGACTTCTCCCAGGTCACACAGGGCACCTATCATGGGATAAGAACTCGAGTCTGACTCCAAAGCCGGGCCTGTTCCTTCCGCTGAATGCCCCCACTGTCAGTCAGACAGAACAACTTGGAATATTTCAGAGACATGCTAAGGAGAGATCATTTCAAGTAAGAACAAAACAGAAAAAATATCTTAAAGGTTATAAGAACTACATATGCTTTAATATACTTCAAAATCAAGAACTGCACCAGTCTGGAAAAAGAGAAAATGAAAGTCATTTTAATAAGAGAAATATATTGTGTGCTGCTTTTTTATCCTTATCTTAGACACAAAACGAGGTGAAATTTTTTAAATTGTGTGAATCAAGTTTTTCAGAGGTTAAGTAACATGAACTCTTACTTGAAAAGCTGATTTTTAAACAATAAATACCTTCTTGGAGTACATCTTTCAGAGTTATCCTCTCCCTGGATATTGCTATATCCTTCACCTTGGCTTTGGCTTCCAGAAGAGTGACACTTCTTAGGTCATTCTTCTCTATCCGCAAGGTAGGATAACCTGAGGAGCCAACAAAGCCAAAACAAGCAATATAAATACCCTTATGACGGCACTGGGGACAACCGTTCAGTTAGAACAGCAGGTCAAGTCACAGGGATGAAGGAGCGTGCAAGTCACAGAGACAGACATGACACGTGAACTGCTTTTCCACCTACCACAAAACCACACTAAATAAGAACCTGCAAGAAACCTGCAAGACCCCCACACTACTTGAACTGCCTTCCAGCCAAATTAAACAGGCCTAATAAGTCAACTTTGGAATTAAATTAACTCTTACTGGTGATAGGAGTGGCATTGTTGGGCGTGTCAGCTCTCAGATACTGAGTCGTCTGGGTGGATGGCTGAGACAGTCCTTGGGAGCTACTGCTGGCACTGATACTGCAAACAATTTTTATAAGAGAAACATTGGACAAATCAGTTTTATTGAGAAATATCCCTTTTTCCATACATACAAAATATACTAAACCCCTGATCATCACAACAGCACAAGGATCTTTTCCACAATGTTCTGTATTGAAATTTTAATCTGCTTTATAATGCAGAGCTCTATTTTTTCTTTCCCCCAAATCACCAAGTAGGTTCATCATACCGAAACTACCCAGAAATGCAGGTCTGAGTCCTGTCATAGCAGCCAAAGGCCCTCTGAAAGAGTATGTTAGGGAAGGAAGGCTCATCTCTGAAGAAGAGAGCCCAGGCCACTCGCTCAGACAGCTGTTCAGAAAATAGAACGACAGGCCTGTTGCAACGATGCCCCAAATCAAACGGCCTCCAGATCAAATGTGTCAACACATCCAAAGGCTGGGCTGAGAAGGAGTGTCAGATCTGGGTCAAGCTGTTTTCCTCACACAAAATCTGTGGAGAATATGGAAATCTCTAATATCTGAAACATTATATCACATGGTACTCTCAAACTACCACAGGAGACCTGGAAGATGGTAGGCGGAAATAATTGCTGACCCTGTATTCAAGATTACTACAAACGAATGCTTCTCACACATGTGCTTCTTTCTGTCTATCCAGTGGACAGTATCCTTGTCCCAGGTCACCCCTGCACATATTCCGGTCTCGCCACCTCGGTCCTGTGATCCAGCAGCACTGCAGAAGTGCAGCGCAGAGACTCGGTGGGAAGGACCCAACTCGGGGCAGGATGCGCTTTCCATGCCTCCTCTAGCCACAGCATCAGTACACCCCAGTCAGAGGCTCCCACTTTCCAGAATGTGCAAAACCTTTTCATTGACCCCTTGCACACAACAGTTCTGAGTTTTACAAACTAGTGATAGAAAAGTGTTTATAATGACAAAGAGTTGCTATGTAATCTGTAACATTTATACATGAATTTATATTTTATCAATCTAAGAGTCCCCACAATCATCTGAAAATGTAAATATAGAACATAGTTAAGTTGCTATGCAAGCTTTTATCACTAATAATACAATCTATTATCTCCTTTATCACTAGTAATACAATCTATTATGTTCTCACAACTAAAACATTCTAAAAAGTCACAATAAAAATAACTATAATTTTCTGCAATAAACATTTGAAAAGCACTTAGGTTCAAGCCGTTCTGCTCAACACAACACGTCCGGAAGACACAGTTCGCCTAATGAAATCCCTCAAGCAGCCTTCCCTTCAGAGGCCCAGCCTGCTTCCCCAGCCACCTTGCTGAAGACACCACATAAGGACTCAGCAGGCTATCATCCAGCAGGGTTCTGGAAGAGCTGTACAGGCTGGGGCCTATCCAAGAATGGGCCTATCTGAATTTTACTTGTGCATGTAGTGGGCTTTGGACAGTCTAGCAGAGCCAAGAGCATGAACCTTGAAATCAGAACTGCCAGCACCATCCACTATTAACAGTATGACCTGAGTAAACTATTTAAGCTTTCCCGCCCCACATAATGCTAACTCCTGATAAGACTGCTGGAAGGATTACATGAAAGATAAGTAAATAAAACATTTAGGACAGCGTCTGGCCTCCAGATACATTTTCAAAAATGACTATTATTTTTACTGGGAATGTTTTAATGCACTTCCAATCCTTAGAATGAAAAGGAGCTACAGGCACGTGTGTTTGCAGCTCTGCGTAGTACTCAGGCTCAGACTAGAAAGACGGAGGAAAGAGCAGCATCAGCATCCTCAGGAGGAGGAAATGAAGGACTTCGGCTTACTCACCCATAAGACAGGATAAGAAACCTACCTCGCAAAATGAGAAAGCTACCTCACAGGATTTCTGTGAGGCTGGAACTATATGATATATGGAAACTACTACTTAAATATTAACTGTTATCAGCATCACTGACAGTGAAATACAGAAGAGCCCATTTCTCTCCACTAACTGAGCAGTAGGTGGCACTACTGTACCATCTCCGAATCTCAGAAAAGGTACCAGCTAAACAGTAACAGGTGTTAGGGGTACCTCTATGCCAATGTTTCATTTGTTCAACAGACACTAGATGGGAAGGGAGGATCAAGTAATCCTAAGCAAAGCACTACACTAAGTGGTGCAAACAAACTCTGCAACCCAAGGCTCACTGTTAAAGAGAAGCAAGGAGCAGTCGGGGACCTACCTCTGACACCTGCTCAGGTCCAAATCCACACAGGAGGTAGGAAAGGAGATTAAAATGTCCATCTACCAATACTTTTTGTATAAAATCAGCCTAAATACATTTTCTTTTCATCAGCAAGTAGGATTAGTTATAGAGATGTTGGACCTGCTTTAGAATGATACTGGGACTCGGGGCCAAGTTGGTAACTTTCCTTCTAAACACTTACTATACTCTGTGCTATTTTCCTTCCTTATTCATTTGCTCATTCAGCAAGTATTTATCAAGTGTCCCTGCCATGCCAGGCACTGTGCTGAGTGCTGGAACATCCAGCACTGAATAGAGTGCTTTCCACTTTCAGGAAGCCTGCACTGCACAGTGTTTTCTGTTTAATGTCGGCCTTACTCTAACTCCACAAGGACAGGAAAAGTGCCTGCTTGTTCACTCCTGCCTGCCCAGCATGTATACCAGCGCCTGATCAATGAGCAGAAAAATCATACTTCTCTGGCATGGAAAGACACAGACCAGACAGAATGGATGCTTATGAATGAGCAGGTGGTACAGATTGGGAAGGGCAAAGAACTACTAGAACAACAAAAGTTTCTGGCCACTTCTATTCATCCTTCATCCAATAGCTACTGCACATCTTACTACGTGTTAAGACTCTGTTAGGAGGTGGAAATAGAAACAAAGAGAAATCCTAGTAGAGGAGGACCTGGGCACCAGCAATGGTGAGGGGGTGGAGATAACGGGAAGGAGACAGGGTAAACAAAGATGCTGCCAAATAACAGCTTCCAGAATCCCACAAAAGGGGAAAGAACTTTCCCACAGACACAAACTGACGGGGAAGACCGCAGTGCGGGCGCACTGCAGAGCAAGCCCTGGGTTGAAGGACTTCGGAGTAAACATGAAGACAGCTTTGCCTCTCCACGAGACCCACCTGGCAGAACCGAGGCCGAAAAGATGCATTTGCAGTGCTTAAAGAGAGAAAGTCACACATGGGTTCCAAGTGCCCAGCGTGACTACAGCTCAGGCAGTTTTATTCTCAGTCCCTAAAGAAGCTCTGTGCGTAACAGGGCTCTGGCTCCTGAGTGCCTAGAACTGAAGCCCTCTCTACTATTGTGTCACAGGAATGCCACGGAGCCATGGGTCCATCAGAACTCACAGGGACGCTGTGACGGCTAATGGGGATACACACAAAACAGTGCCTGGCACACAGCAAGTGCTCCACTCAAGTACAAGAGTCAGTTACTACAAAGAACTAGCAGCCACTGGCGTGGTTCTAACAACCTGATCCTTGAAAAATCCTTCACTTTCATTGAGCCTGTAGCTTCCCCTTTGAAACAAGGACAGTAAGTCCCACCACCATAGGTAGCTGAAGGTGCTTAGTACAACGCATGTGAAATGCCTGGCACAGCACTGGCAAGCAGGCAACGCTCACTAGAATGGCAGCCATCACTTTCTCTGCAGTCCTTATCCAGGAAGAGAAGCAGCTCTCAGATTACTGGAGGGGACCTTTCTGGTCACAACTGTTAGCTTCCTTGGCACATAATCAATCAACAACCACTAATAGAACAGGAAAGAGCTGCACAAGAAATCACTACTAGCACACCACAACTTTCTGACAACAAACACCTAAAAATGGCCTTACTATGGGCAAGACTGGGTTGCAAGACATTGAAGTACTAGTTCACGAAAGCCTACAGCATGCCTATTAGGCATCTATCTCTGGTTGATAGCTGAGGGAAACAGAGGCATGGCGAAGCTCCGTAACTTACTCTACGGAGGCCATAAGGACATAAGCTAGGAAGGAGAACCACCAGACCTCAGAGGTGTGCTTCCACATTCATGCTCTTGACCACCAGGCAATGAAAACACACAGTAATAGAAGCTGCTTTTACTCAATGTCTGAAGACCTTTGCCCAAAAACCTGTAGAGTCAGAACACTTATTAATGGGTGATAACCAATCATTTCAGTAGTCAAAAGTGTATGCCCCAGGGAAACGGAAAGTTCCTGCACAATTCTGGCCCACAAGCACTCAAGGAAAATGTAACTCCTGGGGTGGGCGTTTGGCTAAGCAGTTAAGATGCCACTTGGGATGCCTGCATCCCGAATGGAAGTACTTGGATTCAAGTCCTGGCTTTGACCCCAATCCAGCTACCTACTAATATACACACTGGGAAGCAGCAGTGATGGCTCAAGTGGGAGACCTGGACTGAGTCACCAGTTCCCAGCTCTGGCCTTGCCCAGACCAGACTGTTGTGGGCATTTGGGGAGTGAACCAAGGGATGAGAACTCTTTGATTCCGTCTCTCAACTAAATAATTTATTTTAAATGCAACTCTCAGCATGCTGACCAGAAACCCCTCTAATTTTACATATATCCTGTCCTATCAAAATGCTTCTGTTACCTCTTTTTCCTCTCAATTTTCTTCTAAATGTTATTTGTTCCTTTGTAAACCTATTTCCAACACCACCAGGTACACAAAGCACATACTTCTCATTCTTACCCTTTTCCTCTCCTTTCTCTACACAGGTACAGAAAGCAGAACAGCGAGGACAGGCAGTATCCGGAGGCAGACCCCTGCCCCTGCAGTCCTTCTTTATGCCCAAACGTGCTCACTCACTGCACAGGTGACACTGGGCTAGGACTGGGGACCCGGCAACGGGGGAGACACATGGCTCTCCAACTGGGCAGTGAGAGCTGACATTCCAGCAGGACCAACGAGACAAGCCCACAGAAAAAAAAAAAAAAAAAAAAAAGAGAGACCCAGAAGGAAAAAGTACAATAAGAGAGGGAGTTGCGAATGAGAGAGAGAAGGATATGAATAGCTGGGAGGCTTAAAGACTTTATGAAAACTTTGGCACTGGAGTTGGAACTTGAAGAATGAACAGTCTGGACTAGGAGAAAATACAGGGAGTCCCATGGGCAAAAAGAAAGCAGGAACAAAAACCATACAGGGCACAAGTGAGGAACAAGTCATCATTTGACAAGAGCACAGGTAAGGACACAGGAAGAAGGGGAGCAAAGGCTCAAAGAGAACGGGAGAAGCACTTCCACAAACGAAAACAGGGATGTCTAGTCCACAACTGGGAGTCACTGAGCAGGGAAATGAGGACTCTGTGTCGTGAACATACACCTCCACCTCCAGCTCCACCTCTTCCCTACCTGATTATAACTTCCTCCTCCTTGCCATCTCTGAGTCACCCAGGCTGTGATCAGCACCTTCCCTATTCCCATACCATACTATACCTATCACGATCATCAAATTGACACAGTTGTATAATCATGAGCTAATGTCAAAGATTAAATTGTTGACACCAGGAAGTGTATCATTAATTTTGGTATTCCCAGCACTTAGCATAATACCTAACCCAATGCATCTCAAAATGACTGTACATTATAATTATCCAGGAAGTTTGAAGAAAAACATCGTAGCCCAAACACTACCCTACACTGATTACATCAGGATCTTTGGCAGGTGAGACCCACGACTGGTATGTTTTTAACAAAACTTCCCCACAACTCTAATGTACAACTAGGTTGAGAGGCAATGTTATATCGTGGTGGGTTACTCAATAAATGTTTACTGGATGAATAAATGGCTGGATGGACAGATGGAAAATAATGAAGCTGGGAACTAGATCAACGAAATAGCTGATCTTAAAAGGCAATAGGACAGGGTGCGCATTGTGGCACAGCAGGTTAAGCCTGTGACGCTAGCATCCCATATGGGTACGAGTTCATGTCCTGGTTACTACACTTCCAATCCAGTTCTATGCTAATGCACCTGGGAAAGCAGCAGAAGATGGCCCAAGTGCTTGAACCCTTGCACCCACGTGAGAGACCTGGATGAAGCTCTACACTCCTGGCCTGGGCCAGCCCCAGCCACTGCAGTCACTTGGAGAGTGAACCAGAGGATGGAAGATATCTCTGTGTGTGCGTCTCTCTCTGTAACTCTTTCAATCAATATTAAATCTTAAAGAAAAAGGTAATAGGAGTCTAGGATATTTCAACGGGGTTGGAAAAAACATACCGGATTTCCACTTCTCCTAACAACTAATAAACTGATTTCTGACTTCGCAAATTCACAAATAAATAAAATCAGAGAAATCAAAGGCAGTGTTCAGGACATCTTATTTTTCCTCTGACTGAAGCTTGGTCAACCTCCTCCTTCCCCTGTACCAGTGCACACAGGTGTGCAGAGGCTCTTACACATATGCAAATAACTGCTTTTATTTTTCTCCTTTCCCAAAACATGTACAATACCTGTCATCCAGTTCAATCCTTTTCATACTATGAAGGTGCAAAACAGCTAATATTATTGCTACAAGAAATATTACTGCACAACAAACCCCTACACTGATATAAAACACACGTGTAGAGGTGGTTGGAGCTGCATGTACAGGATCATCTGAAATAAAAACGAAAAGCACATTAAGCTTTTTAAACAAACACAGTCTATTGCTTTGTGACCCAATCTACACAGTGAGTATCCCGTTTTACATAACAGGGTTCCCATTTTCTGTCTGTATTCCCTCTTCAGTAACATCAATTACCAGCGGCTCACACAATTTTTCAGTGTTTTTGTTTTTGTTTTAGTTTTTACAGGTTTTAAATAGGACTTTTGGCAAACAAAAATGACAGTCACGCACAAATGGTAAGCACAAAATACACTGTCACAGTGCTGCCCGACAGATTTTCTACAGTCAGAGAAATGTTCTCAGGGTGCTGCCCAGTGCAGGGGCCTTTGGCTATTCAACACTGAAATGCGACCAGTATAACTGAGGAACTGAAGCTTTAATTTTAACCTAGTTTTAACTAACTCAGAGCGGCTAACAAGCAGTTACCATCCTGCAAAACGTAGCGCTCTAGGTTTTTCCTAGTTTCTCAGTACTGACGTCTGGGTTGGAGAACTCAAGGACCACTGACTCAGAGGAAAGAAATGAACAATAGAGGCACGCACAAGAACAAACATTTATTTTTTTTCTTTTGAGAGTAACAGAAATTACCTTTGTTTAGCTGTTTTTTAAAGACTGCATTGATAAAATGATATTCGGCTTTACAGCATTTTTAAGAGACAGAACCAGAAAGCAAGAATAGGGAGAATAACCTAATGACAAAGACTCACACTCACTGAGAAGAGACAATACACACTCGTGTATGTGATCTAAGCAAGGACAAGCGGTGTGACTGAGTTTCGACAATGAGTGTGGTGCACACCATAGTTCTACTGAAGAGAACCAGAGGAATCCGAGGGGTTCTCCTAAATGACATGGGAAATTATCACCAAGGTTGCAAGCAAAGGAATGACAAACATAGTGTCACTCAAAAAAAACCTGCTGACTGTCTACTGTGTTAAGAATGCTGTGTGGGGAAACCAGAGCAGAAGGAGCAGACAAGCTAAGACGGTTACCAGAGCAGTCAAAGAAAGACACAGAACAGTGGCTTGGACAACAGTGTCATGGTGAAGGTAGAACAAAATGTATTTGAAGCAGTCAACAGGTCTTGTTAATAAATTGTACTAACGTAAGAGGAAGACGAGGAATCAAAGTTTTGGCTTAAGGAATTACTTGGATAGAGTAGCTTGACAAAGACAAAAAGAAGCAGGTGGAGAAGTGAGAACTGAAAGAGGTTTCTGTTTGTTCAAGTTAAGTCTGGACTGCCTAGTACAAATCCACATGCAGATGGTAAATCGTCAGACATACAATCTGGAGTTCTGGGGATAGGTCAGGACAAAAGATAAAAGTTAAGTCTTTCAAAAACATGGAAATAAGATTGCTTTCTAAAATTTTTATTTTTTTATTTTTTTGACAGAGTGGACAGTGAGAGAGAGAGACAGAGAGAAAGCTCTTCCTTTGCCGTTGGTTCACCCTCCAATGGCCGCTGCAGCCGGCGCACCATGCTGATCCGATGGCAGGAGCCAGGTGCTTCTCCTGGTCTCCCATGGGGTGCAGGGCCCAAGTACTTGGGCTATCCTCCACTGTACTCCCTGGCCACAGCAGAGAGCTGGCCTGGAAGAGGGACAACCAGGACAGAATCCGGCGCCCCAACCGGGACTAGACCTAGTGTGCCGGCGTCGCAAGGCGGAGGATTAGCCTGGTGAGCCGCGGCGCCGGCTGTGCTTTCTAAAATTTAAACTTTGAATCAACAAACAAATCAGAACAAAGCGATGCCAAGAGACCAAATGACCTCTAGGGTGGCTGGACTGGGCTGTTGCCGAAATGAAGGCATAGCTTTCCCCATGGAAACGGTATGGCCCTGCAGGGCTGCCCGGTCTTGGACAGGCAGGGAGAGCCCACGGCACGTGTGGCAGTACCGCCCAGGCACTCTGCTAGAAGGTGCCCCACGTGCACCCTGCTCAATGGCTTCCAAGTGCCAGGCTGGTGTGTGCACTGTTCTCACTCCCTCGCTTTGACGTGCCTTATTGCCCGTCACGGCCCGCTCATCCTCAGGTCTGAGATGAGATGTCACTTTCCTCAGAAGGCTGTCCTTCGCTCCCTTAGTGGAGGGAACATGGCCCTCCTCAGGTTTCCAAGGCTCTCTGTATCCACCACAGCTTCACTGCCTTTGCTACCACTGCCCACCCTCCCGTCCATCCCCCCAGCTACATTACACGGCACTGAGGGCAAGGGTTCTCTGCCTCAGTCACATGCCCTGGCACTCCATGGAATCTCAGCAAATGCTGGTGGTTGGATAAATAAATAGGAAAGGAGACGAGTGGAAAGGAGCAAGGAAGAGACCAAGAATATGCAATACTGTTCTTGTGGAAACAGCCTGTGGATGTACAAAGACATGGGTAAAATCACCGGAATTTCAAAGGTAAATTTTGAGAGTAGTAATGTTAAAAAATGTTTTTCTTCTAGAAATGCATCTAAATAAGATATGAGTAGACACTATTTCATGTTATTTTACCTTCAGAAAAAGACCTACTTTGGCACACCGAGATACCTGGTGCCTCTTGAGGTAACACAAAGACGAGACAGGAAGCACACAGTACTGCCTGTGGACTGAACTTGCCACCAGAATTGGGTCTGAATCGAATCCAGTGTGAAATCTGACTGCCAACTTATAGCAGAGAGAAAAACGTGTTAAGTAACACCAGGAAGATGAAGAATATGGTAAATTCTAAGGAAGAAATGATACAATTTCTTCAATAAGTGTATTTAAAAATCAGGGAGGTGCTTTCTGATGAATATAAGTATCAGCCACAAACTATGTGTGTAGGCTTCACAGGAATCTTGACTCAGAGGGCAGAAACCTTTACACTTCTAAGACTATTAGATTAAGCTGAACATGGACTAGCTATCAGAAGGTATTAAGAATTTCTGCTAATTTTGCTATATGTGATAAATCTAAGTGTATAGGTATGGGGTGACTGTGGTTTTTGTGCTTTGTTTTGTTCTGTTTTTTAACAGAGTCACACTGAAATATCTGTGGATGAAATAATGTGATGCCTGGGATGTGCTTTAAAATATTCTATCCTACTCCTAACCAGCCAGAATATTTTTCAGTGGAAAAACACTGGTCAAATATTCATCATTAATGAACTTGGGTGGTGGGTACAGGGGGTTCATTGAAGCATACTCTCAATTTTTGCAGACTTAAAATTTTTTCAAAAAAATTAAAGTCAACTTCCATTAAAAGAATATTATTATTTTAAGATGCTGCTATTAACAACTATCTCAGGAAAATAAGATGCAATGATGTGCTCATGCTAAGAAAGAAAAAAAGAAGCCTGCTATAGTACCTAATCATAATCAATACCCATTCCCCCAAAATCTACTGTGACTTTCAGTGATGTTGGTTGAAATAATATACTGTGTTTAAGCTTAGATCTTCACCTGGCTAGGGCCAGGACACAAGTTCGATTTTCCAAGCTGGGCTAATAAAAATCTTAAACATATTTCATGTTCATACTTTAATTAGAACACCTGAGAAGACAGGAAATAGATTCTTGTCTGTGAAAGCTTTTTAACCAACTTGCTAGGAGATATATATGAACTGCACTTCTCCAACCACTCATTTACCAACTTACAAACAGCATGGCATCATTATCATTCAACAAACTGGAACCTCTAAGTTTTGTGCAATCACGTTCATATTCAATTAACCATTTTTTAAATCCCTAATAATAAAGATAATACAGTAACACTTACAAATAGTTCTGCTAGCATTTTTGTCCAAGGCTGAAGTTTTTACTTCTTCAAGTTCTAAATTAAAAAAGATATAAAAGATTATTTAGGAATTCTTTCTTTTTCATGAAAATCCTTAAGTACTATAATTAAACTGTATGAACGCTTCTCTAACATAGTTTTGGGTTCTATCAGAACACTGCTTGAATTAAGTAACAAGGTTATTTGTTGCAAGATATTGAAAGCTACATTTGATAATCACCTCAATCATTAATCAATAGTGCCAGCTTAGCCAAAGGGCTCTACTTTTAGGTGCTCATTGGCAAAGGGTTTTGTGATTAAGAAGTCTGGGGGAAGCTATACACAAACGTGCACTGGAGCCTCACATTGCACATTCGCAGAATGGAACAGTTCTAAGCAGTTCTGGAGTAGCACAACTTGTTTACACTGTAACTCATATCCTCAAATGATAAAGGAAATTTTTCTTGCCAGTAACACTCCATGCTGTACAGATATTTTTTAACAGTAGACTGTTTTAAGAGCTAGTGGCCTGGAAAACCAGATAAATACATTGGGATCACATATTAAAGTGAAACTCATTAACATGGAAAAGTATGACCAAATAAAGAGGGTACTACTATATTAAACTTAAGTAAAACAGAACAGAAAATAACACCAACAATAGAATTTTAATGTTCATTTTCATGTATCAATTAAAGAAAACAGAGAAGGCATAGATCACTCTGAATACTGGTTGATCACTGACCTTAGTGGATTTCAGCATTGGTGGGACCCATGGACCACACCAATTGTATCTCACTGTGCCTTGAAGAGTAACAGATGAAACACCACGCTACAGTCTGCCCATCTCCTTGGGGACCAGGACCCAGCTGTCCTGCCCTCCTCACTGACCAGCCGGGGAAGCGCAGGCAACCTCTCCACAGCCCCAGTCTCCTTATGTTCATTTTATACCGGCTAGGTTTGGCTACAGAGTTTTTAAAGCCCTTTCAGTTTTAAAATTATATCAAAGTAGGTACATAACTAAATGTGTTACAACTGAAAAATGTATCTAAACACAAAAGCCAAAAGGTGCTAACTTACCATTTTTAAAATGTTTATTCTAATGCAGTACGGCTTTTTTTATTTTTATTTTTTGGCATGTATCTGGACATTAGTCATTTTAATGCACTTGTTGGCTTCAGGAAATTTCTTGGGAGACAGTTTAACAATGACACTAGAGTATAGGTTTGCACCTCAGCTGCACCACTTAGCTCTCTGAGCTCGCAAATCAGTCAGATTTTCAGAACTCAGCTTTCACCTCCCAAAGAAGAGATAATAAAAGAACTTGCTGCCTAAGGTTGCTGTAAGGATTAAATGGGCTTACTGTACATGGAACATTTAGAACACAGTCAACACTGAACAAGTTTAGGGAATTTATAAGTGTGGGTTTCTCTCTCTCTCTCTCTCTTTTTTTTTTTTTTTTTTTTGACAGGCAGAGTGGATAGTGAGAGAGAGAGAGACAGAGAGAAAGGTCTTCCTTTGCTGTTGGTTCACCCTCCAATGGCTGCCACGCTAATCCGAAGCCAGGAGCCAGGTGCTTCTCCTGGTCTCCCATGGGGTGCAGGGCCCAAGCACTTGGGCCATCCTCCACTGCACTCCCGGGCCATAGCAGAGAGCTGGCCTGGAAGAGGGGCAACCGGAACAGAACCCGGCGTCCCAACCAGGACTAGAACCTGGTGTGCCGTCGCTGCAGGCGGAGGATTAGCCTATTGAGCCACAGCGCCCACTGGTTTCTCTTTTTTTAACCACTTTGGATACTAATCAGTTCTACCCACATGACCTGAATTTTTGCAATTGAAAGTGAGTGAGTTGGACTAGATAACCCTTAAAGAGAACTACAAAATTTTTTGATCTATGACCTAGCATGCTGGAACTCTTTCACACTGGTGGTTTTTCTGGAGTTTCAGGTTAAAAATAATAAAAAAGAAAAAAAACCTACTCACCCTTTTTATTTTGATTTTCTTAGGGGGCCGGCTTAAATTTTTTTTTTTTTTTAAAAAAGCGGAAAAAAGAAAAATAAAACCTCTTAAACATGTATAATCCCATTTTGCTTTGAGGAAAACCGAACCTTTCGAGGTTCACAACCTCCCCAGTATCTTGGAAAGAACCAAGCTGTCGGCTGGCGCCGCGGCTCACTACGCTAATCTTCCACCTAGCGGCGCCGGCACACCGGGTTCTAGTCCCGGTCGGGGCGCCGGATTCTTTCCCGGTTGCCCCTCTTCCAGGCCAGCTCTCTGCTGTGGCCCGGGAGTGCAGTGGAGGATGGCCCAAGTGCTTGGGCCCTGCACCCCATGGGAGACCAGGAAAAGCAACTGGCAGGGCCCTGCACCCCATGGGAGACCAGGAAAAGCAACTGGCAGGGCCCTGCACCCCATGGGAGACCAGGAAAAGCAACTGGCTCCTGCCTTCGGATCAGTGCGGTGCGCCGGCCGCAAGTGTGCCAGCCGTGGCAGCCATTGGAGGGTGAACCAACGGCAAAAGGAAGACCTTTCTCTCTCTCTCTGTCTCTCTCTCTCTCACTATCCACTCTGCCTGTCAAAAAAAAAAAAAAAAAAAAAAAAAGCTGTCATTCTAGCCCATGTCTCTCTGACCCCAGAGCAAGGCTTCCACACGAAAGTAACTTTATAAGGAAAACACAGTGATACTCAAATTACTCAGGGTCCCCTAACACATTTATCTTCTTTCTCTGACTCTTCAGTCATGTTGGTTCTATTTCCTATCCCTAATGGAAAATATCTCTGCAGTTCTGCCAAGACTGAGAAACCAGGCACTGAGTGGGGCCTGAACTAGATGTGTTCCTTCTCTTGTCATCTGCAGCTGTAATCAAGACTTCATCATAATTAAATGTGTACAAAGATAAAATGTTGACAAATTCCTTACTTTTGTAGCACATTTTCCTTCGTTTAAAATTTAAGACTGTAAAATTTTTTGAAGAATTTACTGTCAAGTTGAGTTGCATTAATATCATAACTTCAGAATCTACTTTGCCAGTGCAGGAAAGTTCGACCCGGAACACTTTAAAAAAAATAAGAAAAATCATTCAATTTTCTAAAAATCCACATTAATGCTCAAAATGGCTCTAATAAACTTTTCAGAACTATTTTTGTTGTAATAAAACTGAAAGTCATTTATTTACATAAACTAATTAAACAGAAGCTTTCAGATACCTCATCTTTAAACACCACAAGGTTAGACATTAAGTGTTTCATTCATTAAGGACAAAAAGTTAGCAGTAAAGAACTAACCAAGACATAAATGAAGAGATAATTGTTTTCAACTTCGGCTCACGATTTTTAATATATAACTTTGTCTCGTACGTCCAACACACTGAAGCTAGATTCAAAAGGTAAACCCTGCTGTCCCTACCCGTCCTATCAGGAACAGTAACAAAAATTATATGGTAGGAAAGAAAGATAATCCATTCTCGAGATGCTGTTTTATCTTGCTCTTAATGAAAGATTAAATATAAACAGGTAAACAAATAGGATAAGTTCTCAACTATGAATTTAAACAACAGCTTTCTAAACATTCTCTGGCTTCTATCAGCAACTGCAGCAACAGGGTAACAAACATCAATGCCTATTTTTTAAATTTTTTTTTAAAGATGTATTTTATTTATTTATTTGAAAGAGTTACAGAGAGAGGTAGAGACATAAAGAGAGGTCTTCCATCCACTGGTTCACTCCCCAGATGGCTGCAATGGCTGGAGCTGTGCCAATCCAAAGCCAGGAGCTTCTTCTGGGTCTCCCACATGGGTGCAGCACCGGCCCCGCCTATTTTTTTTTTCAATCTTTCAATTAAAGATTCTTTTTCTATAATTTAGAATATATCTTTTCTCAGTATGTATGAGTGTATCAGAGATAGGAACATTTCTGCATTTCTTTACTTACCCATATGAATTAATCCACCTTCTTGCATTTCTTAAAGCTTAAACTAATGGATATCACTAACAACATGAATAAGACTGCCAGGAAAAGTTTGACTACACTGCTATCACTTATGGTTTCAATTTTAAAACATTCCTACTATATTAAGATCTCACTCAGAGGCTGGTGCTGTGGCATAGTAGGTTAATCCTCCGCCTGCAGCAACAGCGTAATATATGGGCACCAGTTCTACTCTGGCTGCTCCTCTTCTGATCCAGCTCTCTGCTATGGCCTGGGAAAGCAGCAGAAGATGGCCCAAGTGCTTGGGCCCCTGCACCCATGTGGGAGAACTGGGGGGAAGCTCCTGGCTCCTGGCTTCAGACCTCCACAACTCCAGATGTTGAGGCCATTTGGGAAGTGAACCAGGGGAGGGAAGACCTCTTTCTCTGTCTTTTCCTCTCACTGTCTGTTAACTCTTCCTCTCAAATAAATAAATAAAATCTTTTTAAGAAAAAGATTTCAATAGTTCAAAAGTGTTAAATTGGTTTAAATAAGATAGTTCATTTACTCATAGATGTATGGAGTGCCTATGTTGTGTCCAGATGCTACACAACAAGAAAAAAATTACAGGATAATGCAATTAGAAACCAGTTAAAAACGCGGTACAATGGGGCAGGAAGAACAGAAGAGAGAGTTAACCACTGGGAGGACAGGCGGAAGCAGGATAAGGACAGTAAAGAGTCTGAGTGTCGCAGAATGAACAGGATTTCAGAAAGGAGGAAACAATGGTCCCACACACAGAGACCAGCTCATGCAAAGGTGTGGACATCAAAACTGCATTTGGTGTCAAACTGCAAGAACACAGGAGCAGTCAAGGGCAGCAACAAGGCTGGCTAGGAGAAGGGGCAGCCAGTAAAGGTCCCAACACACGGACTGGGGACTCTGCTCTGTATCCAGCCGATGGGCCTGGGGGCACTGAGGAGCTTCCTGCCATGTGGTCAGGATGTACATATGCAGTGGTCACCCAGGTCCTACTGGGGGATGCAGGACTTGACTGAGGAAGAACAAGGTCAGACACAGGGACTCGTGTGGAAGCCGTGCCAGCAATGCATGGGAGGAGGTAAAGCACAGCTCAGCACAGGCAGTCAGCAGTATGTTAACTCTGTCTCAGAGGACTCTCACTCACCTGATAAAGTGCGTGGAACTTCCCCCTGAACAGAAATGTTGACCTGGGGCATGTCCATAGCCACATAATTGTCTACTTGAAATCCCAGCTTATACTCAACCTGTAAAATAGGGAGAAATAAAACTGGCTCTGTAGTAACAGGAAGGACAGTAACGACTTCAGTAACAGCTCGTTCATCAATGCCTGAGCCTTTAGTATGTACAATCTAGCTATTAAAAGATCCAAACTGTCACAAATAGTCCTAGGAATTATCAACAGGATAAAAATTCTACCCAGCTACCACCCTCTATTTTACAAAGAGACCAGAACCACCATTCTAGGATCCGGAAACCCTGCTGAAGACTGCAGCCATCAACGACAGAGCCATGGAGAGCCAGACAGAGCCAAGAGTTGAGACAGAATTTGCAGGTTGAAGCCATCATAATCAGTCACCTTCTAAGCCAAGGTCCGAGGATCCTCACGTCTGTTCTGCAGACCCCTCACCAAAAAAGCTGACTCCAACTGAAGAATTCTACAGAAACTTTCTAGCCACATTTTCTAGTCCAGCTTTCACCATGAAAGTTCATGTCTGCCTCCCCATCTAAGCACTGGATCTGTTTCTCAAGGGATTCAGAATCCAGAAGACAGGAGAGGCAACAACAAGACAGATATCCCTAAAGCCATCATCTCATCATTACCTGGCCTACTCAATGTGGCTTAACAGAACCAGTCAGCATCCATAAATACAGCCCTGTGCTAAAGAAGTAGCAGCAGCTCTTACTGCAAAGCAAGAGCTGAAATTCAGAATAGCTACCACCTTCAAGATGGTCAAGGAAATCTTACATTTCACATCATTCTTTGTCCTGCCTGTGGAGTCTTGAAAAATATAATACCCCTCTTCCATTCAGGGGCCACAGGGCAGCTTTTGAAGAGAAGACTGGCAGATGCACGGGGTGGTGGGTTGGAAAAAGGGTGGGATGAAGAAAGTTCAAGAAGCCATTCTTTAGGAAATTTAACAAGGAAAAATAGGAGGCAGGCATTCAGGGCAGAGGATTTTCAAAGATTTTCTTTTTTTAATGAGATACTTAAACACGTTTATATACTAACAACAGATTAGTGAAATGGTAAATAATAAAGAAGAAAGGAAAGAGGCTGACACTGTAACATAGTGGGCTAAGCCTCTGCCTGTAGCACTGGTATCCCACACTGGTTCGAGTCCTGGCTGCTCCACTTCTCATCCAGTTCTCTGCATGTGGCCTGGGAGAGTGGTAGAAGATGGCCCAAGTGCTTGGGCTCCTGCACCTGCATGGGAGGCCAAGAAGAAGCTCCTGGCTCCTGGCTCCTAGCTCCTGGCTTTAGATTGGCTCAGCTCCAGCCACTGCAGCCACTCTCCCTCTGTCTCTCTCTGTAACTCTACCTCTCAAATAAATAAATAAATCTTTAAAAAAAGAAAGAAGGGGAGGACGGGGCGCCAGATTCTGTCCCGGTTGCTCCTCTTCCAGGCCAGCTCTCTGCTGTGGCCCGGGAGTACAGTGGAGGATGGCCCAAGTGCTTGGGCCCTGCACCCGCATGGGAGACCAGGAGAAGCACCTGGCTCCTGGCTTCGGATCAGTGCGGTGCGCCGGCCATAGTGGCCATTGTGGGGTGAACCAACGGAAAAAAGGAAGACCTTTCTCTCTGTCTCTCTCTCACTGTCCACTCTGCCTGCCAAAAAAAAAAAAAAAAAAAAGAAAAAGAAAAAAAAAAAAGAAGGAGAAGAAGAAGAAGAGGAGGAAGGGAGGAAGAGAAGGAGGAGGGAAAACGGGAGGAGGAGGAAGAAGAAGAAGAAAGGAAAGAGGGAAAGAGTATCACCTCAGACCCCCAGGCATCAACTAAAGCAGAGGGAGCTGTTAGCCATGGACAAGAAGGCAGGCTCAACCAAATGAGTTTCATGCCCTTCTAGGATTCTCTTTTTACACTCTACTTGAAAGTCCTGGGCTAAACACTCAGAGTATGCAAACATTAAAATCTTCCTTTATAGGTGCATGAATGCCTGTTAAAGGCTGTACTGTCAAGCGCCAGGTTCACAACAAAGAAAATGTTCTTGCTGCAGCACACCAGTGACTGAGTGGTACCTCACTCTGCTAGTCAGTGTTTTCTCTCATGGTAGCAATTACCATACCATTACTGCCACCTGGAGGTGCCAGAGCGCTATAGCCCAGCTGGGAATAAGCAGGCTTTCCAACAACACACCCTCAAGAATCACTGGTTGTATCACTACATCCAGTACACAAGGCAAGTGCACAAAAGAAACCAGCACAATCAGCAAGAACTGGCTATGGAACCATGAGACCATGCAGTCCTTAGGTAAATTAGACATTTTTCTGAGCTCAGTAGCTGTAAAACAAGGATAACACAACATGTTACGAAGACGCAATATGCTAATGTAATGTACCTGCTAGCCTGGTACAGAATCTCTCTGAAAAATGCAGGCCCCAGTAGTATCAGCAGTCATCCCAGTAGCTACCACATGGGAATGCTTCACTTCCCCATAATCAGCAGCCTGCTGCCGACCCCAGAGATTCTGACAAAAGCCCTCCTGTGCTTTGCCAAGAACACTGTTGCAGTTCTTCTGGTCTGTCCCTCATTTTGGAAGCCACCCTGTTCTGAACAGCCTCCAAACTCTCACCTTGTTCACAAATGTCTTTCTCACCTTCTCCAGCCTGGCTTTCCTCAGCAGTCATCTCCTCCACCGCCTATCATTTAGTTCCTACAACACCTGACTCAGGCCTAGACGTGAGGAAGTGAGTCCGCATTCTTTAAGAATCATGAGGTCCTCCCAGACATCCCTTCCTCACACAAAATCTGCTCTATCTGAAGCTTATAACTTCTGCTACTGTAATGGCTCTTTAACACGGCATCAACACCAATGGTACACACAGGACCTGGTAGAGGCCTTGGCCCTTAGCTCACCTTGCCTCTTGCCATCTTCCTGCTGAATTCCAAATGCAGTATTCAATATTCTTATATACTAAAGAACTGCTCCATAACCACAGCAAATGCAGATCTGAAGATCCTGTCACTGACCTCTCACCGCCCACCTCTGATGCCTACAAAACCAGTTCTTTATCTCCACTACTCCAGGGCAGTCCACATTTATGAGCCAGGGACTGATCTTAGCAGGGATATGGTGGCCTAAGCCACTTCCCTCTTCTCTGGCGTTAGACCGCTTGGTCTCACATTGCCCACAACCTGTGCTCTAAAGATGATGACATCATCAACACAGTCATGCTGGCGTCTTCAACTGGCTCATTCCTCCCCCACATTGGAAGGCAGCCCCTGGATCCTGTCTGCCTCTCACCTGTTCGTACTGCTCAGTCCCGCTGGAGGAAACCCCACCTCAGAGAGGTGCTCCTGCACAACAAGGATCCCAGGCTCAGAGCAGGTCCCAGTTCTGCTCAGCAGTCACTTCTGCACTGACGCCTCTTGTCCTTAGTCTTCAATTCCAAACCTCACAGACCCTCACCGCTTCACTACGCTCAATAATACTCTTGGTTTTCTCTCTTCTCAGTACCAGGCAGATCTGTTAGAACACTCACGTCACGTGCTCCAGTTCCAAGGAAAGGTCCATTCTCTTCTCCACGTGCGAAATCCTCTCCTGGTACACTAGCTTCTAGCGTACTTCACCACTGATGAGATCTTGTTACTATCAACTTGTCTTTCTTGCTCTTATCTTCAATCTCTTCCATATGTCCAATTACCTACTACTAGATACCTAATAATCTTACAGCTTACACTGTTTCCCCAAACCTGCTCTGTCTCCTTTATTCTAGGTCTCACTTATTGCAAGCAGAGGAGCAATAAGGAACGGGACCAGGGAACAGAACTCCTAAAAGGAGCCAGCATTGTGGCACAGCAGGTTAAGCCACCGCCTGTGATGTCAGCATCCCATATGAACACCAGCTCTTGTCTGGCAGCTTCAGTTCCAATCCAGCTCCCTGCTAATGTACCCAGAAAAGCAATGGAAGATGTACCACCCAAATGGGAGACCCAGATGGAGTTGCAAGCTCCTGGCTTTGGCCTGGCCCTGCCCTGGCCACTGTGGCCATTTGGGGAGTAAACCAGCAGATGGAAGATGGAGATCCACTCCCCCTGGTCTCACCGCTGTAGCACTGCCTTTCAAATAAATACATGAATCTTTAAAAAGAAAACCAGACAATATGGCAAAGGGGCCAAGGACCTTGACTACAGCACAGAAGGAAGGGGACAAGACAGACACATGAGTCTCAGTACACAGAGGACAGAGGGACAGGAGGGAGGGGAAAGAGACTGGGGGGAGCCAGGCACAGTGAGGGTGTGGCAGAGACGGCAAAGGGGCTGCCTGGAGGTATGAGGAGGCCCCAGGAGCAGCCCGGGGGAGGGACAAAGCATGAAGACATGGAAGCCTGCCCTTTGAGTGACCATCTAAACACAAGAGGAATTCCCAAGACAGCTCTCTATGCCCTATACGACATGCATTTTAAAACTCTCTATGCCTCTATACGACATGCACTTTAAAACTAGGATCAGAAGAACCTGCCGAAAACTGAAGTCCAATGTTCTCTACTTTGGGATGGATTCATCTATAAGGAATTTCACTTGCCAGTCATCTTTTGAAGAAAAAGAACTGTTCAAAAGCTAAATTTATTATGCACTAGAAACAAAGAAATTCAAGCAGCAGTTGTTTATTAGAAAAAAGAATGAGCCAACATAACTTCAGAAAAGAAACCAGAGAAAATATAAATATTTGAACAAGCTGAAAAACAAACATTTCTGGTAATCTTCCATTACTTGGATACAAACAGCAATTGCAAATCAGCAGCTGAGGAGTAAAGCCATTTCTCTCTGGAAACAGTGCACATTTAAAGTGAATACACTTGCCTACAGCCAAATAGCCTTTTAATTTCCCTGAAATTACCAGAAGTGCTGTCTTTTTCACAGAAACCTCGCTCTGCAAGGGACACAGCAGGCTGGCCCCCGGGGCTGCTGAGGGGAGGAGCTCTGACAAGCTGCCCGCAGACCTTCCTGACAGTGATGGAGCATTTCTGCAACCAGAGAGCGCTACGCTGGGAGAGCAGGCGCGAGGAGCATGCTGCTGCGTTC